TGCTGGCCTCAAACTCAATCCTCTGCCCCAGCCTCCTGAGTGTTATGATTGCAATCATGATTGATTAATTGATTCATTTTTGTCTTTCTTTGACTGTACTGGGGTTTGAATTCAGGGCTCACTTGAGCTACCTCCAGCCCTTGTCTGTCTTTCTTAACTTATTCAACCATTAGGGTGGATATCTTGTTTAGTCTTTTAGCTATAATCCCTCAAACCTCTGTGATTGTCAAGGGTCAAGTATTATATGTGGTTTAATAATTGGAAAAGCTTGTCAAGAAACTAAGTAATTAGTAATGTATTAGGATTATCTGGCTTAGATTTAGTTAGGAAGGGTAGATGGCTACATAGCAAGATTTTTAATAATGGAAGATAGTGGTTATTTTGGAGAGTCTGGATGTATGCTTATTCATTCAAAAAATTTTTTTTCAGTACTGAGGATTGAAAATCCTTACCTTGTGCATGCTAGGTAAGTGCTCTACCACTGAGTTACATCCCTAGCTCCTCCTTGAAAAATTTAGTACTACATAAACGCTAGGCACCACAGATACACTGTTGGAAGAGACAGATGACGTTCCTGCCTTTATAGAACTCACATTCTAATCACTAAGCTGAATAGAATGCACTGTTGTTTGGATTGCTAGAGGTAATAAATTAGGGCAAGTGAGTATTGTATGCTGGATGACTAGCCAAAGAATTGCTTTTGCATCTTGAAGAGTCAAAACCATTAAGCAACTTTCACCTTCAGAGGGTCACACTACTTGCCTGTTTGTGGTAGAAGCTGAATTTTTAAAACCAAGGGTTTGATTTGTTTCTTTTGTAAGTTGAGCCCTTCAATTGTTTAGTGAGACTAATTGATATTAATTTCATGTCCTTCCTATTAGTCTGAGAGAAGAGTTATTACTCTTGTTAAAAGTTTTGGTCTTGTCTCTTTAGGTCTCAGGACCTCATTCTTTTTTTTGTTTGTTTGTTTTGTTTTGTTTTGTTTCCTCTATTTAGGACCTCATTCCTACAATTTTTTTTCTGTCATTATACATCTTCTGTTTTCCCAGCTCTGTTGAAGTTTCCTCTTTAGCATATAAACATGCTTATATTTCTTAAAATGTAGAATACCTCATTTTCTCCTTTCAATTACTGGAAAGTGGCCTACAAAGTAATCTTTACTCTCCACCTGGTCTTCATCCTCTACCCCTTACATGCAGGTCACTCCTCAACTCTAGCCCTGTTACTCCATTGAAACTGCTTTCACTCATGACTCCTGGTTGCAGAACTCCTTTTTAGTTTTTGGGTATTTTTGGTTTGGTTTTATTTTCAGTACTGGTGTTTGAACTCAGGGCCTCATGCTTGCTAGACAGGCACTGTACCATGTGAGCCACTCTGCCAGCCCTATTTTGTGTTTGGTTCTATATGTTTATTTTTATATATATATATATATATGTTTATATATATATGTTTATAATATATGTATGTTTATATATATATATATTTATTTATTTATTTATTTTTGGTTGTTTCTGTGGGCTTATTTTAAGCACAAATAAAACATGCATGCTAGCTGTCTATTAATTTTCTGTACTGCACAGCCTGGCATTAGAATTGGTGACTTTAATGGCCAGCTGGGCTGCTCTTTCCAAAATGGATTTGCAGCTCTTGGAGGAAACATTGTGATCATCTCAGCACAATAGGATTTGTTGCATACCAGGAGTGTTTCCAGCTGCTTGAAGTAGTGGACCAGGAACTTCCTAAGGCTACTGGGCAGCATGTACTTTGTTTTCTTGTTGCTTCCATAACCAGTGATTGACATTAAGATCTGGCCCTTGAGTCTTCCTTGTGTCAGTACCCCTGAGTTTCCTCCAGTTACGCTTAAGTTTGACATACTGGTCTGACTGGCGCCAGATGAACTTCTTGGTCCTGTTTTTGATGATCTTGGGCTTCACCAATGGTCTGGAGTAGGAGATGGCAGCCACCTCAGTAAGTAGCACCAAGGAAGACTTGTGTTGGGTATTTTAGAGATAAGGTATCTTGAACTGTTAGCCCAGGGCTGTCCTCGAACCACAATCCTCTATCCTCCTGATCTCTGCCTCCTGAGCAGCTAGGATTACAGGTGTGAGCCACCACACCTGATTTCTCTTTAGTTTTTGACATTGGGAGTTTCTTTCTGCCTGTAAAACATCCCTAATGTCTTTTTTTTTTTTTCTTTTTTTTTTGATGGTACTGAGGTTTGTACTTCGGGCCTCTATACAGTCACTCTACCACTTGAGTCACTCCACTGGCCCTGTGTGTGTGTGTTTGCGTGTTTTGGGTATTTTTGAGATAGGGTTTCTTTGCCCTGGTTGGCTTCGATCCATGATCCACTTGATCTCTTTCTCCCAAGTGGCTAAGATTATAGGCATGGGCTACCCATGTCCGGCCCTCTTGTCATGTTGGATTACTTTCTCTCTGTTCCTTCTCGGGATTTTCAAGATTCCATGCAAGCTTCTCTTCCCCTGCACATTCCTAAATATTGACATAATCTAAGATTTGTCTTGCCTCTTCTTACTCTCTGTGCTCTCTGCTCGCTTATGTGCATCAGTAACCTTAAATGCAAATACCTTAAATCTATAGCTCCACCCCAGAAGCACTTTGTGTAGTTATAGATTATTTGGCATCTCTCTTTACCTCTTCCATAGATAGAAAACTCATGTTGCTTTCTGCCTGCTTTTCCAAACCTAGCTCTTCAAGGTTTCCATTTCATTCATGGCACCTCCACTATTCACCTCATCTTTCAAGTGATTCAACTGATAGACTGTTCCTTCTCTTAGCTTGAAAGGGTTTTTTTTTTTTTTGACTAGATTTTCATGTGAGTCTTAAAATCAACCTGAATCTAAATGTAATTCCACCATCCTTTACCTGCATTTTGACTTCTTGGGCTCATCTAACAAATTATATATTATGCAATATGTAGAAATATATGTGAAATAAGGTTAAAATTTAGAGTCCATCATTTTGGTTGCTTAGGAACAACTTGTAAGGATAGGCTTAAAGATTATTATTTTTTTAGATATCAGATATTAAGATTTATTTCTTGTAAATACTCTTATCCTCTCTAAGTGGTCTATGGGTAGAGACGACATCATGTAATTCAAATCATAGCAAGCTAATTGAACTAAACTCTATGTAATAGTTGAAACAAAACCTACAAAGTGTATATGGGCAAGTGGCATAGAACCCGAAAAGTACAGTTCCTTCAGTTGTAGTCCTGGTTCCTTCAGCAATGTTAATGTAAAAGCAGGCTTTGGAACTCTTCCGACATTGGCTTCAAAACCCTCTGTAAACATTTTTCATATTTCTCACTAATGGTAAACACCAAATCAAAGAAAAAATGAAAACTCAAATAACTATTAGCAGTTTAATAGCTTTCTAGCTATCTCTATTTATGTAACATGTTTTTACATAAATAGAATCATGCCACCCACTTTGTTTAATGCCCTTTGTATTTTATTCAGAAAGGTAAGTAATTTATAAAATTCTAAAGACTTAGGGACCCTTGACTAAGCATTTACATTTAAAAAATTGGAAATAAGGAAATAAGGGTATGCACAAAGAAATAGCTATAATGATATATTTTACTTTGTTATAAACAAGTAGCAGAAACATATTTATTGACATTGAACGATATTATAGTATATCATTATGTGAGGAAATCAGTATATAAAATAATATATAACATGGTTTCAGTTTTTAAATTTTGTGTGTATAAATAGACATTCATAAAAAATAACAAAAGACAGAACTATACATATGGAGGGATAATTGCAAGTTTGTCCCTTTCTGCTTGCTTTTTTTGTGGCACTGGGGATTGAACTCAGATGAACTCAGAGCCTCACCTTTGCAGTGGCTCTTAACCTCTTGGTCCACTGAGCCAGCCAGCCCTTTTTTATGATGAGTTTTTTTCAAGAGAGGGTCTTACAAACTATTTGCTTTGCCTGGGGCTGGTTTCCAACTGTGAGCCTCCTGATCTCTGCCTCCTAAGTAGTTAGATTTACTGGCGTGACCCACTGTCCCCTGGCTCCTTCCTACTTTCTGAGTTTGTTGCTTTCCAGTAAAACCTAGGGAATGTCACTTTAAAAGTTATTTTGGAACAAAGACTAATAAGATACAATTTGCAAACTAATTTTGTTGATACTCAGGAAATTTTTTTGTAATTCTTAATCATAGGGTAACTGAATATTTAAAGCAACATATTAGTGAATTGCAGTTTTTTTTTTCCTGGAGAGTGTTCTAGTGGGCATTTATTCAATAAGTGCATAGTTTATAAGTACCTGAGTCACATGCATAGCAACTATCTACAAATACTTGATCTTTTAAGTCTTGATTTTTTTGATTCTGCCAGATGTCATTACCAGAAGATAATTTTTAGTTTGGGATAGTCTTAGATAATCTTGCTAACTGCATCTTTGTCTTTGTTACAGCAAGCATTATAATTGTGAGTTGTTTTACTTTTTCCTGGTAGAAAATCCTTCAGAATAAAATTAAAAGAATAAATCTTCTTAATATCTTTGATTTTCTAGTACAATTCCTAGCCCATGTTAAATTCCCAAAAGTATTTCTTATAAATGTTTTTGGCAACTTAATAAGAAACTTAATTAGCCATCACATCCTTTTGTAAAAGGATGATATTAAATACTGTGTTTCTATTTAGTTTGAGATCCCAATAAAGTGAATAGTTTCTTCAATACTTGAGAAAACAATCATTGTTGAGGTTGTCATAGTTGTATCTGAAGGCCAGTGTTATGGTTTTATTTATTACTTATATTTACTTACTTATTTTGTGGTGCTGGAGATTGAACCTTGCACGCCTTGTGCGTGTTAAGCAAGTATTCCACACCACTAAGCGATACTCTAGTATTAATGTAGTTTTAATTGAAAGACAAAAGTTTAAAGTAAAAATATTGAAAAAGACATAAAAGTCAATGAGGTTTTTATGAAGTTATGTTTATATTCACGCATTTTGTTCCTAACAGATCAGTTATTGGCACCATGAACTGGAATAAAGGTGGCCCTGGCACTAAGCGGGGATTTGGCTTTGGAGGCTTTGCCATTAGTGCTGGGAAGAAGGAGGAACCCAAACTCCCACAACAGTCCCACAGTGCCTTTGGGGCAACCAGCTCTTCTTCTGGATTTGGAAAGTCAGCTCCACCACAGCTTCCTTCTTTCTACAAAATTGGATCTAAGCGGGCCAACTTTGATGAAGAAAATGCGTAAGTGTAATTCCTGATGATTTAGCAGAGGTTGAGCTTTGAGTTACTTACTCTATCATGTTCAATCCCAATACCACAAAAAAATTTAAATTAAATTTTAAAAATTACTTATAGTGGGCTGGGGATGTAGCTCAGTGGTTAAGTGTTTGCCTAGCATGCACAAAGCCCTGGGTTTGATCCCCAGTACCACAAAAAAAAATTAAAAAGTGAATTAAGCTGGGCATCAATAGCTCATGCCTGTAATCCTACCTGTTTGGGAGGCTGAGATTGGGAGGACCAAGGTTTGAGATCAGCCTGGGCAAATAGTTTTTGAGATCCCATCTCCAAAATAACCAGAACAAAATGGACTGGAGGTATAGCTCAAGCAGTAGAGTGCCTGCTTTGCAAGTATGAAGCTATGAGTTCAAACCCCTGTCTCCCTCCTCCCCGTCCCCCCAAAAAAGTAAATAAACTTAAGTTTTTTATAACTTTTTTACTTTATAATTTTCATTGTTTAAAACTTTTTGATTTTTTTGTAATAATATTTATGACACAAACACATCATAGCTATCCAAAAATAGTTTTTCTTTATATCCTTATTCTGTAAGTTTTTTGTACTTTTAAAGTTTACTTTTTTAAGCCTTTTTGTTAAAAAAAAAAAGCTTAAAAACCTAGCTAGGTGCAGTGGCACATGCTTGTAATCCCAATACTCAGAGGTGAGCAGGAAGATTGGACGTTCAAGGCCAGCCACAAAGAAATCCGCAAGACACAAACACACATATTCATCTAATCTTGACTAATTGATGGTCAGAAAGAACCATTAATATCACTGACTTCTCACTCCACATCTTGTCCTAGTAGAACGTCTTCAGGGACAAAAACACACATGTTGCTAGCATCTTATGGTAACAGTGCCTTCTTCTGGAATACCTCCTGAAAGACCTGCCTGAGGTTGTTTTCGTGTTAACCTTTTTAAAAAATAGTAGGAGTATGCTCAAAAAATAATAAATAGTATAATAAAAACAAACTAGTATTATCAAGTATTATATACTGTGTGAAATAGTATATGCTGTTCTGTTTATATATTTATTTGCAGTGGCGAGGTTTGAACTCAGGGTCTTATACTTGGCTAGGCAGGCACTCTACCACTTTTTTGGAGATAAAGTCTTGTTTGCTATGTTGCCCCCATCTCCACTCCCAGCATCCTAGACTACAGGCACACATAGTAAGCCTGGCTGCACTATGCTTTTTTTTCTATTGGTCAAAGGGTGTTATCTGTGCTCTACACCCTCAATCCCCTCCAGTAGGGGAGAAAAGGTCATGGTAGGGATGGCAAGCTGCATATATTTAAACTTATATTACTATTTAATTTTAAGGTAAGGTCTAAACAGTGTTTTATTTTTATTTTAGTTTATCAAGAGCTGTATTGGCATCCTTTTCTGAAATGTTTGTTGTAAGGAGACTGATTCTTCCGAGCTTTGAAGCTGTCCTTTGTTAACTCTTAAGTTGTGGTAAATGATTTTTGGTTGAATGTTTATTTTATTTCTAATTCTAGAAATTTTTTTGTCAAATTTCAGAAAATAGCTCATAACTTCTTTAAAAAGTCTTCAGTCTTATGAAAATACCTCTTTAGTTCTTAAAGATTATAAAAAATGAGCTAAGTTAATTTTATGCAAGAGTTTCATTTTTTATTACAGTACATCTAATATTTGCTGTACTTATTCCAATAATTAATACTAAATTTGTACTGAAATTTCATCCCTTTTAACAGAACTACGAATGTGATTTGAACAGACACTATTGAAATGGAGAATTTGCTGTGACTACTTTTTTTTGCAATGTCAGAATTTCTGTATATATCAAGTAATAAGGTCCTTAGCAAAAGCCTTTGTTAGTCTTTAATTTGACCTGTATAGAACTCTCTTAGTAGTAAGATATACTACTATATGTTTCTTATATATATATATGTATATACTTTTACTATAGTAAACGTTTGTGCTAAATGAAGGTTTCACTGTCTCTAGTCTTAAGTATGCACTTCATCAGTCTGCATTTTAATTTTCAGATACTTTGAAGATGAAGAAGAAGACTCTAGCAATGTTGATTTACCTTACATTCCTGCTGAAAACTCACCTACCCGCCAGCAGTTCCATTCCAAGCCCACAGATTCTGACAGCGACGATGATCCCTTGGAGGCATTCATGGCTGAAGTGGAGGTAAGTATCTTCTTTTTTGTCTTTGTTCAGAATTTTTCCAGCCTTTTTTTTTTTTTTTTAAATGATGCTCTATTCTTTCACTTGCCCTTTAATATTTTCACAGATGATCAGTGGCTAGAATTGTGAACTGCGACCCTTAAACATAGTTGCTCAATTTTGTTTTAAATCATCTTAGTATATTCTTAAATGGAATAGTCATCTTATTTAACCTAACATTTATTACTTATATATTTATATAGAACAATTAACATTTTCTGCATTCTGTGGTTTTGTTGTTTCTTATTATCAACATTGTGATTAGTATGTATGACCTCCTTGTAGAAACTAATGACCATTTCCTTGAAACTCTTCTCATTAGGCTTTTGTGATTATTGCATTTCTTTACCTTCTAGCTCTGACTTTTTAATTTATCTACTTAATATTAAGGGAAATTTGGAACATACATAAGGGAAGAATAATAAAGTAAACGCCCATGTAACCTTCGCCTAACTTTGTTGTTAACAACTTTTGATCAATATTGTGTTATCAGACACCTCCCACCTCAAATTCTTTTTTGGATTACTTTAAAGTGAATCTCAGACATATAGTTTCACCCATCAGTATTTTTTTTTTTTATTAATATTCCAGTTTCTCAAGCATGGTGGTCCCTTTACAGTTCTCCGCATTGATTTTTACATCATCCATTTGTAAAACTTGACTTTTTTTCTTTATTTGGTGATACTGAAGATCAAACCCCATGCCTTGCACATGCCAGGCAAGCACCCTAGCACTGAAGTACATTCCCAGTCCAAACTTAACTTCTGTGTGCATAATCTATGTCCTTAATCTTACACTTTCTCTTTGGTATTAGCCCTACTTTTCCAGAAGCATGTTGACCAGTTTTATATTGGTATGTCCCACTGGCACCTTAAATCAAAGTCATCATCTTTTCCTTTTCAACCAGCTCATTCTTTTGTTTTATTTCTGTTAATGGTACTAGTATTCACTCAGTTTATTTATTTTTTGGCATACTGGGGTTTGGATTCAGGGCTTTGCCCTTGTTAGACAGGCATTCTACCTCTTGAGCCATGTCCCAACCCCTTTTTGCTTTCAGTTGTTTTTCAGATAGGGTCTCATGTTTTTGCTGGGCCTCAGACCACAATCCTCTTACCTATGTACTCCCAAATAGCTGGGATCACAGGTGCATGCCATTATGCCTGGCTTATTGATTGAGATGGTATCTCACTAACTTTTTGCCTGGGCATTCCTCTAACCTTGATCCTCCTCATCCCAAGTAGCTGGGATTACTGGCATGAGCCACCATGCCTGATTCTCTCCCTAACCTCCCCCTTTTTCTTTTTAGCAAATTATCAAGCATAATCATTTTATTTTATTTAATCGTCAGTATAACCATGGACACAGAGAAGAAAAAAATTATATAAATGTAATTTTTTAACTGATGGGAAAACTGAACCCTGCCAGGCATGGTGGCTCATACCTGTAAATACTAGCATTCAGGAGCTTGAGGCAGGAGAATTGTGAATTCGAGGCCAGTTGGTGCTACATAGTGAGAACATGTCTCAAACAAACAAACAAAAAGAAGATGGAAGGGGGCAGGAAAGAAGGAAATTAAACTGAGCCCTAAGCCAGGCACTAGTGGCTCACATCTATAATCCTAGTTGATTAGGAGGATTGAGGTTCGAAGCCAGCCTGGGCAAATAGTTTGCAAGACCCTATCTTGAAAAAAACCATCACAAAAAGAGGGCTGGTGAAGGGGCTCAAGGTGTAGGCCCTGTGTTCAAACCCCAGTACTGCCAAAAAAAAAAAAAAAAAACCTAAGGCCGAAACTAATTCACTCAGTAACAGACAAAAACTACACCCACTGATAAGCTAATGTAAATTGTCTTAAGCTACACTTAGAGAATGGCTTATTTGCTTGATTTCTGGGTCTCTACAGCCATAGTTTTATATAATTTACTTTACAAAATTTACCAAAGATAAATTTGTTGATCAAGCATTTTTTTGTGAATTTTTCCATGTATGTTATATGGATTACAGATAAAGTCATGCAATCAGTGTGTAGCCATGTTTATAGAATGTTAAGTTGGATATTTTTCTTGGAAGAATAATTGTCAAATGCACTCTGATTACATCACAGTACAATAATTGCTGAGCGCCAGTGGCTCGTGCTTATAATCCTAGCTACTCAGGAGGCAGAGATCAAGAGTATAGCGGTTTGAGGCCAGCCTGGGCAAATGTTCAAGAAACCCTATCTTAAAACTACCCAACATAAAACAGGGGGCTGGTGGAATAGTTTGTGGTAGAGCTACATGCTTAGCAAGCATGAGGCCCTGAGTTTAAAACCCCAGTACTGCCCCCCACCAAAAAAAAGTGCAATTATCAAAACACATAGTAAAAGCTATCTGCACATTATTTTTTTGGTGGGACTGCCATTTGAACTCTTGGCTTCACACTTGCAAAGCAGGCACTCTACCTCTCGAGCCACACTTCCAGTTCATTTGCTTTGGTTATTTTGGAGACAGGGTCTCTAGAAGTACTTGCCTGGGCTGGCCTTGAATTACAATCCTCCCTGTTTCAGCCTCCAAGTAGCTAGGATTACAGGTGTGAGCTACCAGCCCCTGGCTCCAATCTGCAAATTCTTTATAAAGAAGCTTATTTTTCAGTGTTTTAGTTCATGTGATTCCATATAGCATTTTGTTTCATTAGGATCAGGCTGCTAGAGACATGAAGAGGCTTGAAGACAAGGACAAGGAAAGAAAAAACGTAAAGTAAGTTGTTTTCTTCTCCCTTACAAAGGGTACATGAGAATTGCTGAAGTATTGTAGAGTATCCCTCCAAAGTTTATAGAGGAAAAAAAAAAAATTGAAGTACATAAATGTCTTTACTTGAGGATATCCCTGTATCTTGAATATTTCTGTAGGTATAGAGATTGCATTTGTGGTAATTAAAAGCCATTCTGTTTGGTAGAACGTTATTTGCTCTTCAATTATAAATAGTTATTTAGGAAACAAAAGGAATGAATTGCAGTATAGGGGCTAGGGGAGCATAATTATTAAAGTTTGGATTTATTGTCTCAAGTTTTGTCCCATAAGTAAAGTCGGTTAATGCTTATGATTGATTATGAGAAGTAACAGTAATTATATAAGTGCTGTATATTATTAGGAGTAAAAGTTGATTTCATTTAAAGAGTGACATCATGCTTTAGCAACCATAGTCAGAACTTGAATATTTCATTTTCTGGGAAAGAGAAATCTCTTTCCCTTGCTGAATATATTCCTAAGGCTTTTCCTACCAGGCATGATTGGACTTTTTTCTCCCTCTGCTTGATAGTCAGTGATTCAGGCCCTTCCCAAGGTTTCTGTGCCATGTGGAGTCAGCCCTCTTGGTGCTTACTATGTGTTGCATCCCTCTTCCAGCTGCCCTATGTTGGTGGTGTTGCTTGCTTGATTGCCTTAGGTATTGCAAGTGCTCTAGCTTAGGTGGAAAGTGATTAGAAAGAGATGGCTGTGGGAACTAAGCAGATATACTTTACATTAAACTCACGAGAGATGTAGCAAGTGGCAGTGGTTCCTTCTCCAGGTAAACTACTTAAGAGTTTTATTTCTAAACTCATAAAGGAGTTAATAGTTTTTCTTTCTGTTCCCATCACGGTAACTTGATTTTGGCTGAAAGTAATTATTTTAGAGATAGAAACTTTGGGGAACAATAACAAAGTTGTACACCAAATGCAAGGTTTTTTTTTTAAATCTGAAATACTTCTCACAACTTTGTTTGTTGTGTGGGTTGACAAGGCTAGAATCCTCTGGTATCTAATCTTCATGAAAAAAGTTTTTAGTCCTTATACTACCCATGTTAGTAATTGATGTTTCTCAGGGTACCATATCATACTATTCCAGAGAAATGCAAAGTGCAGCTCATAGAGTGTAATCACACATATGTGATGGGTGAATAGTGTGCTTATTGCTGCTTTGTGATTGTTAGTGTTGAGAGTTCCTATGCTGTATGGAATTCAACACTAATCTGTAAGTATGGAGCTGGGTATGTGGAACATTTGCAGGGAAGTTTGTTTCTCCGCTTGTTTTTCCAGGGGTATTCGAGATGACATTGAAGAGGAAGATGACCAAGTGAGTTCCTATGCAGTATTTCTATCTTTTATTTTTACCCCACAAAGTCTGTACTAGGGACAAGCTAGAGCTTGCCTTTATTGAAATGGCTATTTAACAGGGACTGTCATTTGACTCGCTCCTTTTCTACCCTGTGTGAACAATTGGTAATATAATAAAAAGATTCATATGGCTTTCCCCCATGTTGAAGATGGAACTTTTGATCACCTGACCTCAAAAACATGAGCTTTATTCAGCTTTTTTTAAAAAATCCAAACTTAATGTTTATTCTGATAAATCAGTAGTAGAATGTGGGATCTATTGATGGTCTTTAGCAGCATCTAATTTGTACCTCTTTCTAAGGGTTCTGTTTGGATTCTTTTATTTCAAGATGGAACATTAATGACTATTCGTTAGTATTTTTTTCCATTGTTCAGTTGTGGGATGGTGAGAGCCAGAGTGAGCAGTAGCCCTTTCCAGGTTTGTGACCTTTCTAATCAATGTCAGCTTCCAAACTTAGATTGTTAAAGCTGAAGCATGTGTTCTGCAGCTCTGGACAGGGTAGGTCGACCCCTACACACACACATACACACCCAGAAAGGCTGTGGAGCAGATGCTTTGTAAATCTTCTGCTAAATAAGTTAAGTCACAGCATAGTACTAACTGCCTTGTTTATTTCTCTAAGTACTGATATTGTGAAAGGAAACATTGCTAGTGAAAGCTTTGCCTTACTTGGTAGGTATTTATTTAAACTATAAAGTGTTCTGGTACAATGTGTGCAGTAATTACAGGAGCAGAAACATTCTCAGCTGTACCTGGTTGTGATTATGTTCTTGTGCTTTCCTGCAGGAAGCTTACTTTCGATACATGGCAGAGAACCCAACTGCTGGTGTGGTTCAGGAAGAGGAGGAAGACAATCTGGAATATGATAGTGATGGAAATCCAATTGCTCCTTCTAAAAAAATTATTGATCCTCTTCCTCCCATTGATCATTCAGAGGTATGATATTTCTTGCTGAGTTTCAGTCTTGTTCCATTCTGATGCAGTTTTCTTCAGCTTTAATATTTAGATTTTCCCCAAATCTGTGTTGTTTTTTTTTAATTGGTACTGGGATTTGAACTCATAGCTCGGTGCTTGCACTTGCTAGGCAAGCTTTTGTCTGTGTGTGTATGTGAGATATACTGGGGTTTGAACTCAGGGCCTACACCTTGAGCCACTCCACTAGCCCTTTTTTTTTTTTGATGGGTTTCATGAACTATTTGCCTGGGCTGGCTTCGAATGCCAATCCTCCTGATCTCTACTTTTGAGTAGCTAGGATTATAGGTATGAGCCACCAGTGCTGGGCCCTCCACCATGAGTATTCTTGTGCCATGAGAATATCATCTCTGCTAAGCAGTTGGAACTTTCATGAGAGGCAGGCTTGGTAGTGCACACCTGTAATCCCAGAATGTGGTGGAGGGAGCAAGAGGATCGAAAGTTTGAGGCCAGCCTGAAGTACATAGTGATTTCTAGTCAGCTTGAGCTACATATTGAGACCTTGTCTCAAAAAACAAAGGATTGGAGATGTAGCCCTTGTGGTTAGCATGCACATGGCCTGGGTTTAATCACCCCCCACCCCCAAAAAAAATTTCCATGAGGTGTTCTTAGTCTGTGTTATTAAGGAGAGTTACAGCTGAATCACTTGCTCACATCAAATTTTGGAGTTTTAAGAATGTTTTTCTTTTTTCCCCCACGTGATTAATTGTACTTATTTTATAAAACAAAGACCATCCTTTCAAATGGACCTGCATTTGTTGTTTTTGAATGGCTATAAATCTTTGCTATTGCTTCCAGATTTGGGGGAGATGAGAGGCCATTTCTTCCAAGTAGAACCAGGAATTATAGGTTCCTTAAGTCAGCTAAAGGAATTGAGGCCATCATTATACTCACTTAAAAAAATACCAGTATTAGTTGGGTGCTGATGGCTCACACTTGTAATCCTAGCTACTCAGGAGGCAGAGATCAGGAGGATCACAGTTCAAGGACAGCCCTGGCAAATAGTTCATGAAATCCTATCTCAAAAATATGTAACACAAAAAAGGGCTAGTGGAGGGGCTCAAGCGATGGAGTACCTGCCTAGCAAGCATGAGGCTCTGAGCGCTAACCCTAGTACTGACTAAATAAATGTATAACTAACTAGATAACAGTATTTCTTCCAGGTTAAATGTCCATTTAGATCTTGCTTACCCTAGTTACTCTAAATTTAGAGTAGTGGGTCTCAAGACCTGGTCCCCCTGAAGGAATCCTTTCAGAGTATCTACAAAATCAAGAGTTTTCATAATAGTACTAAGATTGTTTGCCTTTGCATTTGTTTTGCTAGTGTAAAAGCAATAGTAAGTAAAACTTTTGATTCTTCGTAAGAATTAAGGCAGTGGCACCAAATTGGTCTAGTAGTTGTTATAGCTTCCCTGCCAGATCATGCAGTTAAAATAAGAATAAAAAGTTGGGTCAGCCTGGTGGCTCATCTCTAAGCCCAGCTACTTGGAAGGCAGAGATAGGGAGAATAAAGGTTCAAGGCCAACCCAGGCAAAAAGTTAGTGAGACCCCATCTCATTCACATCTGTGGTCCCACCTACATGGGAGGCTGAACATAGAAGAATTGCAGAAACATGAGACTACCTGAAAAATAACTGAAGCAGAAAGGTCTGAGCATATGACTGAAGAGGTAGAGCATCTGCCTAGCAAATGTGAGGCCCTAAACTCAAACCCCACCCCCCACACACAAAATAAAATAAAAATAAAAAGCTACACAAAAAATAAAATAAATAAATAAAAAGCTGGGTATGTTGGTTCACAGCTGTAATCTCAGCACTTGGGAGGCAGAGGAGGCAAAAGCAGGATTATTAGTTCCAGGCCACCCTGGACAATATAGTGAGACCCTGTCTCAAAAAAAAAAAGTAAAAGGAAAACAGTCTTAGTTAAGAATGCTCTTTTGAAACAGTAAAAAAAAATTATTTTTTAAACTTGACTTTTTGAGTTACATGTCTTTTAAATTCTTTGTGACCACATGGGAAGAACACATTAAGCATTTCTGCTGCACTCAATATAAGGTAATTGTCTCAAGGAAAAGACTTGAGTTTTTTAACCTGAACTAGCTGGGGGTTTTTATGGAACACTATTTTCACTTGAGAAAATGAATGACACTTCAAGGAAAACAATTAAAAGTGTTTATTGCCAGTACTGGAAAGTTTGTTTCAAAGAAGCTTATATCCAGTTATAGCAGTGAACTAGACAGCTTCTCAATGCTTAAAAACTGAGTCAAGCTGCTTACCTGCTTTAGCCTGCCAGTTTAAGACCAACTTGAACAACATAGCAAGACCTTTTCTGAAACAAAAAAGACTGGGTGATAAAATTGATGATGATATTAATAATTGTGGGGTTTTTCTTGTTACTTGTGTTTTTTGTTTTTTTGTTTTTAAAGATACTGGAGTTTGAACTCAGGGCCTCATGCTTGCTGGGCAAGCACTCTACTACTTGAGCCACTCTACCAGCTCTTGGTTTTTGTTTTGAAACAGACTAGAATCTCACTATATAGTCCAGACTGGCTTCAAACTCCCATTCCTTCTGCTTCAGCATCCCCAGGGCTGGGATTATAGGCCTGAGTCATTGTTTCTGGCAATAATTACGATTTTTTTTTTTCTATTTTTTTCCTTTTTTTTTTTTTTTTTTTTCCCGGTGCTGGGGACTGAACTCAGGGCCTTACACTTGCCAGGCAAGCGCTCATCCACTGAGCTAAATCCCCAACCCCTAATTACGATTTTTTAAAATAACATATAATAAGCTGTGTCTACATTTCAATGACCTGCATAAACCTCAGTGAAACAATATTTTCCAAATGATCAATATATAATAGTACAAAGTCATGCCTGAGTAAAAGCTCCATCAAAATACATAATAGACCAATAGTGGCTTGTAACGTAAATGAGTATAGAACTAGTTCAGTGACATGGTTTAAGATTACATAGTGAAAATAAACTTAAGAAATTATCAAGTTTTTAGTATGGTATCAAAAAAGAAGTCCACAAGTACTTGAAAGGGCTAGGAAAATGTTCTTTCTTTTCCTACTATATACCAATGTGTGGCTCTACCAACTCTTTTTTTTTGTTGTGTATTTTTGAGATAGGATCTTTCGAACTGTTTGCCTGGGCCTGGCTTTGAACCGCAATCCTCCTGGTCTCTGCCTCCTTAGTAGCTAGGATTGCTGGTGGCAGCCAATTTCATGTTTTCATTTCTTTTTTTCTTTTTTTATTATATTCATATATGCCAGTTTCATGTTTTTTAAAAAGAAAAGAACTTTTAAAGACAGAGCTATCTCTAAAAGAAATAATGGAATTGGAAATGTTTAAATTTTATTTGGTGAAATATCTTTTTAAAACACATGTCTTCTGAGGCTTTGGGCACTATAAAGATTCCTTAGTTTGCTTCAAGGTTTGTTAAAATCTGAGCTGTCCTTAGGGGTGTCTTTGGGAAGTAGGTTGGTATTTATGCTGAAAATAGGAAAAGGCCTAAGTTGTACTTTTGGGGATGTGTGTGAAGAATAAATGAGTTCCTTTGTTCTTTCTAACAGGAATGGCTTTGTTTTTGTAATATTTGTAAACATCATTTTGCATTAAAATCAAACTTACAGGATTGACTCTTGAATTCTAGACTAACTTTGAATAATTGGACCTGCAGATTGACTACCCACCATTTGAAAAAAATTTTTACAATGAGCATGAGGAGATAACCAACCTCACCCCACAGCAGTTAATAGACCTGCGACATAAGCTCAATCTTCGGGTAAGAATCATTAAGCAAATATTCTCATATTACTAATGTTAGTCCAGGTTTGGTTTTGTTGCTTACTCAAGCTTAATAACCTTGGATTTCTTTTCTAATGTCCCTTAGCTATCTTTACTAGGGTAATAATTATATTCCTGGGGCTTGTATGTCTTGATTTTATTGTTTCTGTCTTCGAGATGATACTCTAGGATAGGATATTTTTTGTTTTGTGTATTTAGTCAGGTTTGTATGTTCTGTGTTGGGTGGGCTAGCAGTGAAGGGTAGGAAGCCCTTCAGGGAGGAAACAAGATTAATAGACGTGAACAACATACAAAGTCTTAAGAATATTTTGAAATAATGATATACGTGCTTCTCAAATTATATACAATGTACTTTTTAAAAATATAAGAAATCAGCTCCTTTTTAAAATACATGTGCACTAATTTCAGAATAGTAGTTTAAATTGTCTACCACAAAGTTTTGGGTTGATCATTGGCCATAGTGTTTTGGGTGCTGCTAGATGTTAGTTAAGTAAAGCACACAGATACAATATGACTGATCTGCTCTGGTGTGAATGACTTTCTGGCCTATGTCTGCCTTATTAGTTGATATATGATGTTTGAAAACTGTTTTCTAGGAGAGCGTTGTATGTATATATTTATACATGAATATGTGAGTTTCTACTCTCCTGTTTTCCAGGAGGTTGCCCATCCCTCAAAAAAAATGAGCCCCTGTTTGGCAATAATTAGCAACATTAGGAAAATATTGAAAGGTTACCATCGTTGGAGACAGAGTAGATTATAAGCTCCATTGTTCACTTGGGCATAGTTAGAATAGTGCTTGACAGTGGCTGGACCATTATCACTAGGAGAAAGATACTCTTTAGGCAGTGGTAGATTATCTTTGTAACTGGTAAATATAGGTCTTAGTTAGAGCTCATTTGAATTTTTCATTTATTTCAAGACTAAGTTTTGATCACGCATAGTGGTACATGCTCATAATCCCAGCTACTTAGGAGGCAAAGACAGGAGGATCATGGTTCCAACCCAGCCCAAGCAAAAATGTCAGTGAGACTGTGTCTCTAAAACAGTCCTGGGCATGGTAGTGCGTGCCTCTAACCTCAGCTACTCAAAAAGTGAAGAGAGGATCGTGGTCCAAGGCCAGCCCTTGGAAAAATGCAAGATCGTCTCTAAAAAATACTAAAAAGCAAAAGAACTGTGGGCATGGCTCAAGTTGCAGAGCACTTGGAGGCCCTGAGATCAAGCCCCAGTAACACACATACAAACACAAAGAAAATTTTGTTCTTTTTTTTTCCTACCATGTGTTCTAATATTCATGAAAAATGGCAGAAAAAGAGCATTAATGATTTTTCTCAATTCATTGAATAGTTTATTAGTTTTTTTATTCTGATGAGAAAATTAATCTTGTTTTAGGTCTTTAATCATTTAAAATCATATGACAGAATTATGTCAGGAATATTTATTGTGGAGTTTTTTTACATGTTCCTTAAACTATTTGAGGTTTTGCCTTTACAGTGTGTGCTTTTGGCCATAGACTTATGTTTTCACTTCTTCATACTCAAGCTAAAATGCTAGATCCAGGCAAGAATTGCCAAACTTCAAATGCTGTTTATGTTGAAGTACAAGTCATTCCTAGGAGTTATCTCTGTCTCTAGGTCTCTGGTGCTGCACCTCCTAGACCAGGAAGTAGTTTTGCTCATTTTGGATTTGATGAACAACTTATGCACCAGATTCGGAAATCTGAATACACACAGCCCACCCCAATACAGTGTCAGGTAAGTAAAACACAATGAAAGAAAACAAAGTAGAAAGATACTTCATATCTAGTTGACAAGCAAGTCAAAGCAGTAAAGCTGTTTAATTTACAATTGTATTGACATGAATAGACGGTACAAATACTTTCTCTTTGTCTTTCCTTTTATTAAGGGAGAGGAAAAAAAATACATGAAATCCAAGAATATTTTTGAAACTTAAAAATTAAAGGGCATTCATACATAGCAGAGCAGCTCCCTCGCTATGATCTATTGAAAGTCAGCCCTCAACACAAGGGTTTGTTTAAAACAAAATAAAAGCTAAAAGATTTAAAAAAAAAAAAAAGGGGCGGGGGGCAAATGTGAATTAGTTCTCACCCAAGTTGATAAGTGACTGGAAAATGTTCTTTTGTATCTGCTAAGGACCTTGAAAATATGATCTGAAACTATATTATCGCCTAAACCTAACAAAGATTTGTAGGGACATGAAAAAACTATCCTGCCAAGATCTTTAGGGTTGGGGTGTGGCTCAAGAGGTAGAGCGCTTGCCTACCTTGTGTGAGACCTGGGTTCATTCCCCTGTGTTGGAAAAAATAACTACATCCAAGAATTGTGCATGGACAAATTTAGCACTACCAATGACTAGAATTTCTTTGTCTATGACCAGAATTTTTTCATTTATCACTAAAAATAGTAGCTTGTGTTTCCCATTCATATTTTGAGTTTATTTCTCATATGAATATGATTGTCTATTCCTTCTCACAGGGAGAACAGTTTTTAAATTTTAGCTCCTTTATAAATTGTAGTTTTTTATTTGTGCATGTCAAGCATAACAAAATCATTCATATTCTGTACATGGAAGCTGATCCATATGAAGAGAATGATGTATTTCCTATAGATTAAGAAGTTTATGAGCTTGGGCACCAGTGGCCCACGTCTGTAATACTAACTACTCATGAAGCGGTGATCAAGAGGGTTATAATTTGAGGCCAACCCGGGCAAAAAGCAAGACCTTACCTCAAAATACCCAACATAAATAATAGCTCAAGTGGTAGAGTGCCTGCCTTGCAAACGTGAGGCCTTGAGTTCAAACCCCAGTGCCAGAAAAAAAAATCTTACGGGAATGTCAGATTTTTCTCACTATTTCACAGCTAATATGCATAGCCCAGGACATTTTTGTTCACAGGAAATGAATGTCATTAATAGTCTTTTATCCTTCCCTATGAGTTGCTTCAGTTTATCTTCAGAATTGAAATTTTAGAGTAGATAAACTTTTTTTTTCCCTCCAGGGTGTACCTGTGGCATTAAGTGGCAGAGATATGATTGGCATTGCCAAAACAGGCAGTGGAAAAACTGCTGCCTTTATCTGGCCCATGTTGATTCATATAATGGATCAGAAAGAATTAGAGCCAGGCGATGGACCAATTGCAGTGATTGTGTGTCCTACTCGGGAGCTTTGCCAACAGGTATGTGCTTTGTGTAGAATGTACCTTTCCACATGGGGTAGCAAGGGACTACCCGGTCCATTGGGTAGAATGAAAAGGAAAGCCTTTTTTAAATTATAATAAAGCATAGTCAGATTTGACCATCTTAATCATACAGTTCAGGAACATTAAGCTTGTGCACATTGTTGTGTTGCCAGGAAAGTGTTACATGTTACATAGTTTCTTTGTAACCAAGTACACTTGTCTACTGTTTGGGGTGGAGGGTAGTATGGAAATGGTATTATAAGTTCACAGTGTTTTTCTCAGTATAAAGGCAATGACAGGATCAGGAAGAGAAATGAAAAAAAAAAATTCAAGGCAAGATTTTAGCCTGATTTTGTGAATAAACATGATTGAACCATCTTACAGGTTTTGATTTTCCATGATATGTTGTTCAGGAAATCCTTTGGAGTTGTGATAAAAGCATTTGTTGGGCTTTAATGTGTTAATATGTTATTAACAACTTTGTAGATCCATGCAGAATGTAAACGGTTTGGGAAAGCATATAATCTTCGCTCAGTGGCCGTGTATGGAGGAGGGAGCATGTGGGAGCAGGCCAAGGCCCTTCAAGAAGGGGCAGAGATTGTTGTGTGTACCCCAGTAAGTATATCTCATGCTTAAATGGCTTCTCAGCCTCTCTTGGTATAGAAAACATGGTTGGTTTTGAAGGGAGCTTCCCCCAAAGTGTGATAAAGCAGGATGGGGAATGACCTGATGAATGACAGTCCCTGGTTTTGGTTTAGTTATGACTGGTGACTAAAATAGCAAACCAGTAATACTGTCTGTGACATATACGATTAGCAGCTACAAGTTCCCCCCTATTTCAAATAGTTTTTCTTATGCTCTCTTAGAAAATGCATCTGTGATTGCCAAGAGCATCAAGAATCAGAAAGATATTCAAAGTGTGGTCAGTACTGTCCAGAAGAGTAGTGTAAACATTAAAACACATCAATAGGTTTTAAGTCAGGTCATTTCAGAATGCATAATAACGCATGTATATGCATTCCGACACTTGGCCAACAAAATTTAAACTATAGTTAATGTAAATGAAGAATTTGAGCTTTCAAAATTTCTCTACTCTTGGGTTTTGTAGTTCATAAAACTCAAAGCTGTCAAACCAGTATGTATTACTGTACAAGGCTAAAGAATTAGCACTTTTGCCAGGAGTACAGCATTAGAAAGTCCTTACAAATGTCTTTAATTATGCTTACTATTCACTTTGTGGCTGTCATAGGGTCGACTGATTGATCACGTGAAGAAGAAAGCTACCAATCTTCAAAGAGTATCTTACCTTGTGTTTGATGAAGCAGATCGAATGTTTGACATGGGATTTGGTATGCTTTACAGTTTCGCCTGTTCCTGTCCTCATATTAATTTTTTCTTCCATGTCTTTTTATACTTAACCAATTTTTTTCAGCATGAGAGAAACTAAAAATACTCCTACATAGGGTTAGACTGTAGAGTATAATTAAGACATTGATTATTTGTAGGAGTTTTCTTAGGAAAATTATGTTAGTCTTGACTAGGTTGAAGAAATTTGAAAGTGGTTTTATATATAGGAGGAAAATTTCCTCTGTTCTTTTATTTTTGTTCATGTGCCTTTGATTGTGAAAGTCACGGTCTGTATTCTTGGGTAGGTTAATATCAAATCATCCAAGGTCCTTTGCTTTCCTGAGCTCTTTGACTTACTCAGCTGTGTAAACTTCTAAATAACCATCTTTACTAACCATCAGCACAACTCAGCTGCATGAAGGGGAAGTTTCTTGGAATTTCATACTCAATGGATATGTTTAAGAGTTTTAAAGTTTCCTTATACCTTCTCATGAGTATTTTACTAAAATGACTTTTTCCAAGCCTGTTACTCTGTATTAGGGATTTGTAATACTAATTTTACTGTTTTTCTTCCAGAATACCAGGTTCGATCCATAGCAAGTCATGTCCGTCCTGACAGACAGAGTATGTATGAAGCAACTTTATTATAAAAACACATGCTCAGAGTAAACACTTACTTTATAAGCACTCACAGTTATGACAGCAAAAATGATTCATAGAGGGGTAAAAATGACTGGTTATTTGGAATGGACAGGACCCTAGCAGTCATCAGATATAACTGTTCATCTTTTAGATGACAAAACAAAGGCTCAGTGTGGTCCAATTTACTCAGTTTTATCAGTGGGTAAAAGAATTGCACAGTACAGATCCGCTTTGAAATCAAGAGCCTTTTCCTGAACCATTCATTTCTTGGCTGAAAATGTAATAAAAATAGAATAAAGGAAAGTCTTTTTTTTCTTTAGTGAATCAATTATTAAACCAAATTTAAAGTTCAGGTGGGTTTATGTAAAAAAAAAAAAAAACTGAGTAATACTGAATGTCAAGAAAACTTAGTGGGTTGACTCAATTAAGAAGTTTTGCACTGTTTCTTTAACAGAATTTATTTTATTTTTTAGCTCTCTTATTCAGTGCAACTTTTCGGAAAAAGATTGAAAAATTGGCCAGAGACATCCTGATTGACCCCATCCGAGTGGTGCAGGGAGATATTGGAGAGGTAACCCTAAGCAAGACTGATGGGCCCCCAGTGGGTTATTTCTCATATTATGGAGACATCCTCACTATTGAGATAAAAGATAAAATGTTTTGTTTATAGATGAGAGCAACATGTTTCAGATTTCCTTTAAAATATTTGTATATTGGGGGGTAGATGAAACAAGTTTAGCAAATTGTTGAAATTGATGGGTAGTTGATTATAATACTTGAAAAAATTCATAATAAAAGTTTTTTTTAAAAGCGTTAAAGAAACAAAAAGGTCTTAGAATACTACTAGTGAGTTGGGATGCAGACTTTTTTTTTTTTGGTGATACTGGGTTTTGAACTTAGGGCCTCACAGTTGGTGAGCAGGCACTCCACCACTGCACCAGTCCTGTTTTATGTTGGGTGTTTTCGAGATAGGATCTCAATTTTTGCCTTGGCTGGTCTCAAACAATAATCTTCCTGATCACTGCCTCCCTGAATAGCTAGGATTACAGGTGTGACCCACCAGTTACCTACACACTTTAAATAATTGTGTGAGTAGGCCTGCTCAGGGTGGAGTGGCATAAGTTGAAGGGCCTGGTGAGAATAAGTTAAGGTTTAATTCCATACCTACACATATGTCCTATATGGAAAAATTCTCTGAATTGGAATTTGGAATTCAATTAAGGCCATTTAGAGAATTTTTAAGTTATTTGCCATGGGGTTTTTTGTTGTTGGGGTTTTTTGCATTTTTAAAAATATTTTTTATACTGTGACACATAATAATTGTAAATATTTATAGTATATAGTATGACATTTCAACAGATTATATACTGTGTAATGTTACCATTTCTTTGTGTTGAGAACACTCAAAATCTCTACTGGCTATTTTGAAATAAAATGTTTCCACGTAGTTATCCAGTTTTCATTTATGAATGCGTCTGTGTTCATGTGTGAATTGTGTTTGGAACAGTGAGTGGAAAGGACCCTGAACAGGAGATTACTCCATTAGGATTACTCTAAATAGGCATATAAAAAGTATTGCTGCTGGGTGGGGGCTCATGCCTGTAATCCCAGCTACTTGGGAGGTGGAGATCGGGAAAGATGTGTGTTCTAGGTCATCCTGAGCAAAAAGTTATGACCCCATTTCAGTCATAAGCTAGGTGTGGTAGTGTGCACCTGTGACCCCAGTTATTTGGGAGGCATAAATAGGATTGCAGCCCAGGCCAAAAAAAAAAGTAAGACCTTGAAAACAAACTCCAGTACCAGCAAAAAATAAACACCGGGTATAGGATTGCAAAGTAGTATTAAGGCATACAAATTAAATTACATTGGTCTGTGTACATAGCAGGGGGAGGTGGAGAACAATATGATTTGAGATGAGGGGTAAGTTTCAAGCTGTACTTGACATGATGAAAGAGGGCCTAAAGAGAATAAGGATTTTTCAGGGTTCCTCCAGATGCAGGTAAGAAACATTGCCTGGTCCTTCAAGTGTCCTGTGTCACCATTGTCACAATTACCTGTTTTGTTTCCTTTCAGGCCAATGAAGATGTGACACAGATTGTGGAGATCCTCCATTCTGGGCCTAGTAAATGGAATTGGCTTACCCGGCGTCTGGTAGAGTTTACCTCTTCTGGGAGTGTCCTTCTGTTTGTCACTAAAAAAGCCAATGCTGAAGAGCTAGCCAATAACCTTAAGCAGGAAGGTCATAATCTTGGGCTGCTCCATGGAGACATGGATCAGAGTGAGAGAAACAAGGTCATTTCAGATTTTAAGAAAAAGGACATCCCAGTCCTAGTGGCTACAGATGTTGCAGGTAGAGTATGAATTTCATAGTAACTTTAGTATCTATGCTTTAAGGGTGCTGTCCTACTCTACAATAAGACCTATAACATCTGGGCAGTCTGATTGAACAATTCTGCTAACCTGGCTGGCTACAGCCCATGGAGCAGGAGTTCAACATGTATCTCCAGATACCAGTTTCTACCTAGTGTTTCTCTCTGTTCAAAGTATCCTCGCACCTACAGGGCTGTTGTGGAAAAAGACTATGTTCTTATTATATATTTGAATATAGTGGGGATATCAACATTGATTGGCCATACTTCACTCAAGACCAGAACAATTTTTAGAATATGATTTTGAGCTTTGTTCTGCTGAGTTTTAATAGCTACCCTTAAAAACTTGTATTTTTCTCAGAAAGGAGAGAACCTCTCAGCTATGACACATTTGATGCTAGTTTTGATTTTTTTTAAACATATCTTTTTTATGTTTAAAAAAATAAGAGGATGTGGCAGCTTGTTGGTACAAAAAATAAGTCCCTAATACTAAGCAGCCCTGCATCAAAGAATCTTTGTTGGTGACATTTATTCTAGAGGACTAGCTTATGTGCTTGCATTGAAGCTCATTAAACCCATGCACTTTGTCCAGATAAGGGAAATGTGGGTTCTTAGAGCTGGAGTATTTCTAGTTACTTTCATCTTCTGACTGCAGATAAAGAATAAAAGAATTTGATTGCTTTTTATTTCAGCACGTGGTCTGGACATTCCTTCAATCAAGACTGTCATTAACTATGACGTGGCACGAGACATTGATACCCATACTCATAGGATTGGCCGCACAGGAAGAGCGGGTGAGAAGGGTGTGGCCTATACCTTACTTACCCCCAAGGACAGCAATTTTGCTGGGGACCTTGTCCGAAACTTGGAAGGAGCCAATCAACATGTGTCTAAGGAACTCCTAGATCTGGCAATGCAGGTGAGTGGCTGGCATACTTACAGATTACTCCATATTATACCACCAAGTAAGAAATTTTACCAATCAAAGAAGGAAATAATAGAAATTTGACAAGAAAGGGGTGGGAGGAAGGTGGTTATGAGATATAGATTGGTATCTTGGGATATTAAAACTCCTCTGCTCTGTTCTCAAAAGCTGATCCTTCTTTTGTGTTAAAATCTGTCCCTGTAATTTCTGCTTTCTCACTCCAGCACACTTATAAATTTAATTTCAAGAGATGCCTATTATTCTCCCTACTCCTCTTCTCCCCTCAAAGTTTTCTCTTTTAGGAGGCTAATGTTGTGTGGTGTCTTTAAGAAAACTATTGTATAGTACTTTTTATTCTTCCCCACTCCAGTACTGGAGGTTGAACCCAGGGCCTCACACTTGGTGCTCTATCATTTGGGCCACTCTGTCAGCACTTTTTTTTTGATGGGTTTTTTTGTTGTTGATGTTGGTTTTGGTTTGTTTGTTTGTTTTTGTTTTCTTGATAGGGTCTCACAAACTATTCGCCTGGGCCTGCTTCAAACTGTGGTCCTCCTGACTAAGTAGGATTATAGGCTTGAGCAACACAAAGGCCTCTGGTTTTGTGTTGAGTATTTTCAAGATAGGGTCTCACAAACTGTTTGCCGGGGCTGGCCTTACACCGCAATCCTCCTCAACTCTGCCTCCAGAGTAACTATGATTACAGCCACTGGCACCTGACTTGTTAGTGCTTTTTCTATACAGACAGATCTCAGGTCTCTGACCACACACTGATTACCCTCTTCGAAATGTATCCCAGTTCAAAACTGAAGTATTCAACCAAATCGAACTTTGAGTCATCTTACTACATGCAGTCTCCAAATTACAAGTGGATTCGGAAAAAGTTCTAATAGTAGGAACGGTTGTCAGATTCATAGGTCAGCTGTGTTAATCTATATGTGATACAGTTGTAGTGTTGGAACCCTCATTTCTGATCCTAGGAGTAGAAGACTATACTGCAAGAATGAAGAGAATGATGCTTGTTTCCCCTTTCCTTGGTAGAGGGAGCTGCAACTAAATGAAAATTTTAACCAAGATAAATTTAGTTTGAAATCTTCTTACATTTTTTGTGCCCCAGGCTCTCTGTGCTCAGCACTTTTCCCAAACCTGCCCAAGATATTTGCATTTTTAAGACAATGTGAATAAATCAAGTTCAGTGAAAAATTTTAGGCTCTTTGGGGAAATAAAATTTTCAGTTAATATAGCTGCCAGTACTTCCTGGGAGTTTCTAGAATCGATTCTGATAAGATCACTTCACCTAGCTTTTTTCCTTCATGTCCGAACCTACTAGTTCTTTTAAAGTTTGGCTCAAAATGTTTATGTTCAATAGTATGGGTAGGTGGATTGCGAAATGGAAATAAATTTATTTTCCTCCATGAGGTTAGAAGTAACCAGTGTGACTAGTCTGCATTTGAAGCTTACTAATCACTTCCCTTGGAGACCCTGGAGAAGGAGAACAGTAAGGGAAGCCTTAGATAGCCTTTAAGCCTTCTGACAAATTTGGTGGATTACTACCCAAAGGAAGGCAGTCTGGGTTTTTTTTTTTTTAACAGTCTCTCCTTTGCCATAAAAGCATTGGCTAAAGATGAAGCAAAAAGTTTTTCCTTCCTACTTAATTTCCTCTTTGACCTTGTCCTCTTCCTCTGGCCTTCTCTACACCACTGTGCTTAACCTTGAATTGTGTTCAATGCAGAATGCCTGGTTTCGGAAATCCCGCTTCAAAGGAGGGAAAGGCAAAAAACTGAACATTGGTGGAGGAGGCTTGGGCTATAGGGAGCGGCCTGGCCTGGGCTCTGAAAATACGGTGAGTTCAGACCACAGTAGTACTCTTGAGATTGGTCCTATGTCTTAAAATGATGGTGATAGTGTTATTCTGATCCACCTATGGGTCCTAAACTCTGTCTAGCAGGGAATGTGTATTTAGTCTGTTGATTCAAGTCAGTGTTTTGATGGTTCATAACGAAACTTGCTGTTGAAGAAGTATCTGTGCATTTGTCTGACAAGGCTTGTTCAAGAAGTTAGATTTGTAGTGGTTTCTCAAAACATCCCTGGATCAATGGGACATGCAAACTGATCCCCCACCTCAGACTTGATAAATCAGAAATTCTGGATTTAAAAACAGCAGTCCATTTGTTTTTTATTTTATTTTTGGCTGTACTGGGATTTGAACTGAGGGCCTTGTGCTTTGGGCCCTTTTGCTTTAGTTATTTTTCAGATAGGGTCTCAGGCTATTTGCCTGGCACAGCTTTGGGCTATGATCCTCTTACTTGCACTTACACTTGCACTTATGTGTAGCTGGGATTACATATGTGCACCACCATTCCCAGTTTGTTTGTTGATAGGAATCTCACTAACTTTTTGCCTGAGTAGGCATCAAACTTGCAGTCTTCTCAAGTAGCTGGTGTTACAGGTATGTGCCACTGTATCTAACTTCAGCAGTCGTTTTTGTTTGTTTGTTTTTGTTTAGCATATATTAACTATAGTTTCACTGTGATATTTACAACATGCATACAGTGTACTTTGACCTAATTCATCCCATTTATGTTACTCTTCTTTAAAGAAGTCTATTTTTAAAAAGCCCTCCAACACTGAGCTAGAGCCTGCTGCTTGGGGAACTTTAGCTCTGTCTTGTCACTAAACTCAGAAATATCCCTTCATGCTGGGAAATTTTATCTGAGAGAGGTGGAACTGCTTTTTCTTACAATTCACGTAACTAAAAGCACCCCTTCACTGGCTTCTTTACTGCCTGTTGCTGGGCTCAGTGATTCCTACGTCAGGGAACAAAGCTACCAGTATACTTTTCTGGAACATTGTAGGTAACTTGGAGTCTTTGGTGGGTATATACAATGTTCCCACATTACAGTAATGATGGTGATGCAGATGACAGTGAAAGAGGCAATAATATTGAGCATTTTATATGTGCAAGGGCCATTCCAAATATTAACTCATTCTTTTTGAAATTGTTACAGTTTTATTAAATATCATTGTATGTCTGAGTTAATATAGATAAATAATTTAAGGTGAGGACATTATAAATAATTCTTAATGTTCCCATAGTGTTAAAACTTTGTGAAAACAATTTGAAATTCCAAAATATCTTTGAAAAGATTGATAAATTACTAAGTTTAATTCTACTATTGATAATCCATTTTGAAAATGTATTGCTTTTAGTTTTGGGATCACATTGGGTTTATTACCACTTAAAAAAATACCAAGTAAAAAATTTCTATAAGAAAATATCAGTAATATACAATGCTTCAGATAAAAAGAAGAGTAAAATACAGGCTCAGATTAAAACTAAACAAGAGGTTTGACTCAACATGGGGAACTGCAAAAGTTAAAAGCTCAAATTTTATTACAATAATGTATAAAAAGATGCAAAATGTTTTTTGGTGAGATCAGGGTTTGAACTCAGGGTTCGGTGCTTACTAAGCAGGTAAGCAGGAACTCTCAAAAAGCCCTGTGTTCAAACCCCAGTCCCACCAAAAAAAAAAAAAAGCTTATATACATGAATTTAAGTAAAATTGAAGATTAAGATGTCCGCATCAATAATACTAACATTTAGTGTTGATGTGACTAATTTTTTCATGTGGCTTCAGTAGATTCAGAATATTTTAATAGATTATTTGTAATAAGCTATAATAATATCAAATAATTATATAATAAATCATATTAAGAGTAAATACTATAATTTTCTGATTTTATTACTAGGAATTCAGTTAAACATAAATTTGTGTTTTAAACTAAGTCAATCTTTAACCCAAAATCTAAGTACAGATAATAAAACTGAAGTGCTTAAAGTTACACACTGGTAAATATGTATAACACATTAATTTTCTTGGACATAATCTGACAGCATTTCCAATTATTAGATTTAACTCCCGAGATTAGAATTTGGTACAAACATTTTTAAATGACACTTCCATTATTGCATCTTTACAAGAATAAGTAAGTTTCTAAAAGATACTCAGTTCCTATTGTAGCTCTGCCTTGAGAGTTTTCAGAATGAAGCCCAGTCTATGCAGTTGCTTTCCAACTTGTTTTCCTTCCTTATGGATCTGTTTATTTTTAGGACCGAGGAAATAATGTAATGAGCAATTACGAGGCTTACAAGCCCTCCACAGGAGCCATGGGAGATCGCCTGACAGCAATGAAAGCAGCTTTTCAGGTCTGAAATAAGCATTTCATTTAAAAAACTGTTAACTCCTGGGCAGTGAGGGAAGGGGGCCTTCCTGAGCTGGTAGTTGGGCTTCTAGGCTTCATGCTAGATTTTGGGCTTTCTCATTGCTTGGAATTCACATATAAACTTAACAGTTTGCCTGGAAATGCAAGTACAGAGGTATAGAAACCCTTGTTCTAGTCATCTGTTATCAGTCACAGCCACAGCCTGGGACTGCTGTATTTAGCAGAATGTGTCCATCAATGTCACTACATTCTGTGGTATTGCCTGTCCCCAAAGCTATTACATTTTGATTGAGAGTAATTGCCATCTTTTTGGCTAAGATTGGTTTGATTCTGTAGCTTTTATGAACTCTGAACCTATCTTTTTTCCACACTTGCCTAGGTGACATCTAATTAACTAGCTGGGCCTTAATTTACATTTCATCTGTCTCCAGACTGATGGTTCCAAGATTTTATTTTTCACTAATAGAGGAACTCAGAAATTGTTTTGAAATTTAGTATTTATTTTTCAGATTTGAGAAAGATGATAGTGTAGTAACACCCCAGCAAAGTCTGCTGAAGTTAAATATATTTAGAGACTACATCATAATAGCCTTTTATCAATTCAAGTTAGGTTTTGCTGTCAAACTTTTTTTTTTTCGAGACAGGGTCTTGCTATCTGTACTTCTTTGTATTCCAGTGCTGGGGATTGAACCCATGGTAGGCAAGCACTCTTACTACTGAGCTAGACCCCCACCCCATTACTATAAAATTTTTTAAAACATTTGTAGTTTTCCTAACTTTTTGGATTTTTAAATTGTAATTAACAGATTACAGACTGTAAACATGTTTTTAATTGCTGTGCATTAAATTTCAGTACACTGGGGTCCATCTCTGAGTTTTCCTTTATAGTACAAGAATAAAAAGGCCTGTGCTGTGGGGCCATTGGATATTAGTCACAGTGCAAAGATAGAATAGCTAGTCTTTGTATACTTTATTGCTGCCAAGCTTATGTACACTCAGATTTCTTGAACTTACTATTGTACTCATGGTGGTTTCTTTCTTTCAGTCACAGTACAAGAGTCACTTTGTTGCAGCCAGCTTAAGTAATCAGAAGGCTGGAAGCTCTGCTGCTGGGGCAAGTGGATGGACTAGTGCAGGGAGCTTGAATTCTGTTCCAGCTAATTCAGCACAACAGGGTCACAACAGTCCTGACAGCCCCATCGCCAGCACCACCAAGAGCATTCCAGGTTTTAGCAATACTGGGAACGTCAGTAGCGCCCCAGTGACCTACCCTTCTGTTGGAGCCCAGGGAGTCAACAACACAGCTTCAGGGAATAACAGCCGAGAAGGGATTGGGGGTAGCAATGGGAAAAGAGAAAGATACACTGAGAACCGGGGTGGTGGCCGTCATAGTCATGGAGAAAGTGGCAATCGGCATGGCGATCTCCCACGTCATGGAGATGGTGGTCGCCATGGAGATGGATATCGTTACCCAGAAGGCAGCAGTAGCCGTCATACTGATGGCCATCGGCATGGAGAGAACAGGCATGGAGGAAGTGCAGGTCGGCATGGTGAGAGCCGGAGTGCAAATGACGGTCGGAATGGGGAAAGCAGGAAAGAAGGTTGTAATCGTGAAGCCAAGATGGACCCCAAAGTGGACAGCAGCAAGATGGACAGCAAGACAGATAAGACAGCTGATGGTTTTGCTGTCCCAGAGCCACCCAAACGCAAAAAAAGCCGATGGGACAGTTAGAGGGTATGTGCTACAGTGTGAAATCAGTTGTCTTTAATTTTATTTTTAGAAAGATTTTGGTAACTAGGTGTCTCAGGGCTGGGTTGGGGTCCAAGGTATAAGGACCCCCTGCTCCTAGCAAGAACCAGAGCATGGAGATAAGGCCTTCCTGCATCTGAATAATTGTTCAGATGTTTTCTTAGGAAGCTTCTGCTGGCTCTGGGTGAGTGGAAGGTACTTTGGGAGAAGGGGCCTTATATGGGGCGCAAAACTCACTCTAGGTTTATATTATAAGTAGCTTATATTTTTTACTAAAATACCACCTTATAAACATCTACAAATTGAATTGTTTTTTTCTTGTTTGGCAAGGCAGTCCCCCTTTAGGAGTCAGCTTCTGCAAACCCAGTCCATAGAGCTGTTAGGAATATTTGGGAAGCAGTTTGGTGCTTTCACACATTTGAAGGGAAGGGAGGTCCGAACTCTCAGGTTCCCTAGCCAGGTTTGTATCCAGCCCTGAGACATGTAGAAGAAATTGCCTTCCAGACCACAGGCTTTGAAATTCCCAGGGATAGTGTGATTGAAGGGAACTAAAGACCCTGTCAAGAGTTTCAGGATTGTTCCAGGTCTGAGGTATTGTTAAATTTAAAATTTAAAAACAAAAAACCCAAGTTTTCAAAGTGTCTATTTCATTGTATTTTTTTTTTAACTTGCCTCAATGGTAGAAGTCTTTTGCTGAAATGATTTTGATGATTTTTGTTCTATCTTGTTTATAAAAGGAAAAGAAATATACAAACTTTGAATTTTGTGACTTTGTGAAGGTTTCTTTAAGATGTGCATTCCTCTCTGCTTGCTCTCTAGTAAATGTTTTACTGCTGGGACCTGCGGACTCTTTGTCATTTCTGCCTTATCATAGTTGGTATGTTACGATTTCAAACGGTGTAGCACAAAAGTGGTATGAAATGTGGGGAAGTGCTTCTTTATTAAACTGTCAGAAAAGACATCTCTTCTATCATATTTGTTTTATTCAGTTAATAATGGAATAGAATGACACCACATGCCCTGTAATAGGCTACAACAAGCACCACCCAACATAAAGGTTTAAAAAGAGATTTGACTGTTCTCATCCAGCACCCTAAGTTCTTCATGGAAGGTTGGGGAGGGGTCGGTCAGTACAGTAAGACAGTTCCTCAGATCTTTTCTGGGGAACTGTCCTTCAGGCAGAGGACGTCCTCTTGCTATTTAGGACCGTTGTGGAATCAGAAAGACCCACCAGCTCCCTGGGAACTGTCTTCTCAGCTGTGATGTGAGCAAGAGCAGGGCTGGTACCAAGGAGGCCAGTGAACTACTCTCCCTCCAAGTCTTTGGTCTTCTCACTTCTCACAGGCACAGGAGCTCTGCCTACTTCCTCTTGTTTTTTTTCTTTCGGTCCTTACGTTGTTGTGCTCTCTGGTCCTTCTTCATCCTGGAGTCTACCACTTTGAAATGACCTCTGACTCCAGCTGGCCGCCGCACTTTGCGGCCCACACCTTTTTTGGCTACAACATAGGTGACTTGGCGTTTCTCCTTGCCAAGCCCAGCCTTCCTGTACAGACTGTAAAAGGAAGAAAGAACACAGGTTAAAGGCCTGCGTGCTGAAGCTGTTTCTAACCTTGTGTGCCTTTGTGGGTGTTCTCCCTCAATTACCTTCGCAGCTGTGCCACCTTCTCTCGTTCTGAGATGTCCACTGTATTCACCACTGCTTCAGCCTTCTTCTTAGTCTGTTCCAGCTTCTTCAGCATCTGGGAGGGAAGCTCCGTCAGGTGACCTCTTTCCCATCCCTACCCCACACATGCCTAACCTCAGGCAACCTCACCACCTACCCTCCGTTTCTTTCTAGCTTTGGCCTCAGCCACTTTCTTAATGGGTCGTGCATTGATTTCCCGCCAGCGTTTCCGATAATACTCCACTTCCTTCTTGTCAACAGGCAATTGCCGTATCCGGTGCTGCTTCTCTTCCTGCACAAACCACTCTGGAAGCTCCCCCTCATCTTCATTAAATGCATACCTGGGTGGGGAGGACACCAGTGTAACAACCAACCACTCCAAACTTCTTTCTTTTTTGCAACACTGGGGTTTGAACTCTCATACTTGCTAGGCAGGCACTCTTATTGCTTGAGCCAATCTACCAGCCCCCACTCCAAGCTTCTTAAAGAAGAAATCACCAACTTAACCCCCCTTACCGATTAAAGGAGTTATCTATCAGGTCTCTCTCGGCCTTTTTGGAAGAAGCAATAACTGCACCTAGAGCAAGGCCTTCAGGGTCCAGAATCCGACGTTTTGCTAGAGGGAAGGACAAGTCAAAGCCTAATTCCCAACACTGAAACTTCCATTGGTCTCTTCCTTCCACTGTCCACAGAGCTCTCACCTGGGTCCTCAATAGGCACCACCTCAAACCCATCATCATTTGACTTAGTTCCACGGCTTCGCTTCTTACCACAGGATGGCTTCCAGCTGTGAAAGAAGGCAGGCATATGAGTGAATATTCTACTCTATCTCACCTCAATTCTGGTTCCTATTTAACTACTTAAGGAACTGCCAGAAGTTTCTACAGCCAAGGTTGAGAAACCCCCCACCTTAGGGAAATGGTTCAAACCACTGCTTCCTCTTCATCATTCTCATCAGCTGCACACACTCACCTTTCTTCATCCTCACTGCTACTATCACTGTCTGAGCTGTCATCTCTGTCTTCCCTTTTGGGGCCAATGGCAGCTTGTGTCCCCATAGGGGCCTCATCCTGGCCCTGGGGAGACTCTGACTTCAAACTGGAAGGTGGTTGTGGTGGTGATGGTGGCAGTGGTGGTGCTGTTGGCTGCTGCTGCTCCTTCTGACGGTTCTTGTACAACAGCTGGGCCTGACTGATCTCCAGGGCCTCGTCAGCATCATCTTCAATCCCACTGAAGCCATCCTGTGGTGAGGGAATCTCAGCTGTCCTCCCAGGGAATGCCAGTAATCTGATCAGTCCTGCCCTAGTCTCCTCTTACCTTTGAGAACCACAGACTGGCTTGTTCTTCCTGCAGCACTGCTTTTTCCTCCAGTGGTACCAGCAGTGGATTCTCTTCCCCCTCCTCTTCTTTTTCATCTTCTACTTGAGCAAACTGCACACTGTAGAACCAAAGCAAAACTGGGAGAGGCTCAAGGGCTTTAGCTCTCAGTACCCATCTCTGGTAATACCCACAATGACTCCGCCTCTCCCCCACACACCCCTTACCATTTTTGGTCCTTTAAACCCTGATGTCCCATGACTCCGGCCAGCTCCTCTGGATCCAGGTCACTGTCCAGAGAAGTATCGTCATCCTCCTCAGCATCCGACACATAGATGTCATCCCTTGGCAGATCAGACAGAAATGTGTCTGCAGCACTCATGTCTCCTTGGGTTACTTTCTCTAACAACTGAAGTTTTAACAGAAACAGAGACAAAGAACTTAAAGGAAATGCACTGCTTTTTCCCATGCCCAATTCACTTATTCTCAACAAATATTACCTCCTCCTACAGACAGAGCAGTTACGACTCAGGGAAATGACTGGTCTATGTACATCCTACTGTAGGCCAGGGCACTGATCTGTCCGTCCCACTAGTTGTTTAAAAGTCACTCTCAAAAAGAATCAGAATCACGTGAGAATACCATACTGCGATAGTCCACTGAATAAAGCAGCCCAGACAACATACATCTAACAACTGATCCCCCTTCAACCACTCTTAGGATATCAAGCACAGCTACTATTTGAGTGTTTATCACAATATACCAGAGACTGTACCTAACCATCATTTTAAATTTCCCATGAAAACCCTAATGGTAAGTCTATTACTGTTTTACTAATAAGAAAACCAGCAGAGAGGGAAAGTGGTAAGTCAGAGTCACACAACGCCTAGCTTGGACTGAAGCCTGAGTCTGTCTGCTCTATTGCCTCCTATGTAACAAAGATGACCTAGCAATGACATCTCCACAGTAGAACCACAAAGCTCATTTTGCTTGTGATACTGCTGTTCTCAGGAAAAGAATGTTCTTTGGTATTCAACACACAGGAGCCTAATGTGAGATGGTAACTGAAGAACAGTGTACTGAGGACATTCTACCCACACCAGGTAACCCAGAGTAACCCAGGTCCCTGGTGCATCTTCCATATCCTGAACTCAGTCCAAATATTCTAGTTTTACAAGAATAAGCCTATTATCACACTTTAAAAATTTTCCCAATTCCATCATATTAAGTGTATGTCCCTTTTTTGATCTTTTAAGTCACAGGCCTCTACATTACCCAGTCTCCCTCATGCTAAGTCATTTTATGAGTGAATACACCAACTAAACCCTCTGATCATTCAGCACACAATCCAATGCCCCCTACCTCCAGATAGCCCAAAGTGATCTTGTCTTCTCAATCTGTACCCTCACCTGGTGACCTTGGATGGCCCGCAAGGAAAACATGCCAGTTTCCCCCTCATCGGCGATGGAAACCCCGGGTAGATCCATCTTTAGCTCTACACGCTCTCGCTGCTTCCTCTGCTCGCGCAGCAGCTTTTTTTTCTTCCTGAAAGGATGGGGTTGAGTGATTCAACCTGATCAGTTCTTAAGACTCCCTATCCGTGCCTTTCATTCTCTTTTCCCATCGCATACTTAGGAATTCTGCACTGGGGGTTCCCCAAACTTCTCCCCAGCTCCCCTTACCTCTTTAGTTCTGCTACCTCCTCGGCCTTCATTTCTGCTAGGGTCTGGTTCAGCTGTTCCTCCTCCTCTTCCTCCTTAGAGGGCTGTCTTGTCCCAGCTGCTGATACCTCATCACCCTCTTCTTCCTCTCCCGAGCTAAGACTGGACAAAACAATCCAGTAAGCTATCTTCTCAGACACTTCCTCCAACACCCAGTCTCACCTACCCTGGTTTACTTTGCTCTTCACCTGATGTCCAGTGCCTTTGCTTGCTCTTTCAGCTTTTTGGCCATATATCGCCGAAGCTTTGTTCTCCAGTTCAGTAGGGACCTGCCCCAGAAATACAATTACTGACCTTACCATCTCTATCTTTGTTCCTGTCTGCGCTATTTTCAGCCCCAAATTTCAGTCTTCAACCACAAATCTCTAGTCCAACAGAATTTTGATTTCCAGAGATCCAGCACCACCACCTTCAAGGCCTTTCCCTGTCTTCAGGGCTCCTGGCCTTTACACCCACTCCACTGCATACCTGAGCTCCTTGCGCCCCAGTACTTTAATGTCCTGACAACATGCCCTTACGTCTTCAGTGGTAGCTGGATGTTGTGCCAACTCTACATCATCTATTGAGATCTATTTGAGAGGAAAAGGAATCAGGGAAGATCCTTAGGTCCTTTTTCTGGGTGGGACTCCCTTACATTCCTCAAGTCTGTGTACTCACTTCGCTGGCCTTAGAGAGGAAGTCAACAGGGTTGGCAGCTCGCAGGAAGTCAGTGACTGAGGTTCGGTGATAGAGAGTAAGGTCACCCTCAGCATATCCTTCAGCCTTAGGCAGGGAAATAAAGGCAGTTGGACAATCTCTTCTGGGGTATTTGAAGGATCCACGGGGCCCAGCCTCCCCAGAGTTTCAGGATCCAAGGTAGTTCCATTCCCTAAACATACCTTGGGCTTTTTCTTAGTCACCAACTCAGAAACAGTCTTAGCCTGAACTTCAACCTCCTTAAAGGCAAACTTAGGATCAAAGAATTTACTATCAACCTTGTCAGGAGCCAGGAATCCTAAAATGACAAGACATATTTAGAAGTGTGCTTTGGTAATTAAGAGGCTGAGTCAAGAAAAACAAAGTAATGCCTACCCTGGCAAACTACAAAGATTTCTGCTGATTCATGGCGAGAGGCTTGGGGCTTGGTGGCCTGGACACGGTGGAACAGCTGCTGAAAGATCCATAGCAGGGGCTGATAGTCACGAGAACGGAAAACCTTTGTGATGAAGCAGCCACCACGGGCCAAAAAATCACAAGCCAAACGCAGAGCCATCAGTGTCAAGTGGGCTGCGGGACAGAGACAATCAGTGAAGACCTCTGCAGCCTGAGGGAATGTCACCTCCACTCTCACCCTCACCTCCAAGCCCCATATTGCCTGAACCTTGTGAGTAAGCATCATGAATCCAGCTAGCCCCAACGTTAGGGGCCCCATCATTGAGTACAACATCAACCTTCCAAGTCTTTAGCTCCTTCCTCAGGGCCTAATGAGAAGGAAATGGGATTATGGCAACAGAAACACAGAAACGACTAAGAATAAAGTCCCTGGTTCAGTCATTTGTCCATCCAGTCACTTGTTGAGTGCCCAGGATGGGCCACATGCTAAGCTAGAATATAATAGGCAACAAAATAAATAAATCTCTGTCTACACAGGCTTTCTGTGTAATAATGAATCCAATGGAAAGGACTTCACTGAAGATCTCTATCCTTCTCTCAAGTTCAAACACCATCTCGGACTCTAAGTAAAGTTGGGGTGGTCACCAAGACTGTCATGAGCCTTGTCATACAGATGTTGTGCGTGCATTTATTTAAAGCATAGTCAATAGAAAAGTTTTGCCAGTGATTTGGGAAGTATGAATGTTTACGTAAATAGGGTCAGGAGGAAAGAAATTCCCATTACCTGCCTACAGCGTTCTGTTGTGATGTCTTCCTGGAGAGTCACTACATTGGGGAGAGGCTTGATTGGAACCAAGTCCACTCCTGGAAGAAATAAGGTCAGAATACTCTAAGGCCTGCCTCAAACAGGGAGGAGGGGAATAAAGGACAAGTTAGTACAATTTAGTACACCCCTAAAATACCCAGAGAACCACCTGACACTCACCCACAATAAGACTGGATACAGGCATAAACTTGGCAGCCACCTGAAGCCTATGAAAGGAATAGAGATTAAAATACCTAGAGTGTCTCCTCACGTTTGGCAATGTGATCTCTTGCTTCTGCTATTCGGGGCACCTGTCAAGTGTGGCAGCCAGAACAAGTCATAATGTACCCATTCCAAGCCTTTTCTCCACAATCGAGAAGGAAACCGGCCTCGGTGATTTAAGGGAGACCAACGTGCTCAGAAATGTATCCTTTTAAGACTGTAATGGGGACAGGGAGAGATTCCAAAAGCCATCCTCCGCTAGCAACTCTTAAGCTATCCAGACACAGGGAGCTGACTATCAATCAGTAAGAGCAACTCGTGCCCAGTATTACCATCCTCCTGGCGCAGCACACAGGTCCAGCAAGGCTCGGGCTTTCTGCAGGAACTGAAAACGGCGATTGAGTTGGATCAGCTTGAAAGCAGAGCGGGAACGGTAACCTGAGCGGTGAAGATGGCGGGGAGGCACAAAACAATGACGTCCTCGGGGTGCTTCCCCAGCAGACGTCTCCAGCCTCACAACCCACCACCCCTTCTGCGGAAAAGGAACCCAGTATTGGGAAAGCAAAAGCAAAACGGACCAAAATTGTTCCGTCGTTTGCTCTCAGCGCGAACCCTGACTCACCGGTCTCCTTGGCCAAGTGATAGAATTTGTCCCGCCGGCTCTTGCCCACTTTGCCCTTCTTGCCCATGGTGGGGGGATGTCACTCAGCCTGAGGAAAAAGTAAAACTTGGGACCATATGTTCCGAGCGCTAGAAGCCGCTTCGGTACCCCACTCTGCGGCTGGGGCCACACACTCACCTCCACCCAGCACGGTTTTCACTACACTTGGAGCCGCACATGTAGACGGCGAGCGTACTTCCGCTTCCGCTTGCGTCTCCTGCGTGCTTGGCACCAAGATTTCCGCCATCTTGAGCGTGGCCATAAATGTCTCTGTCCCCAGATTTTAGAAGTTGCAAATTGAGAATAAAAGGCAGATTACAAGAACTAAGAACCTAACTCCTAGGAGGCAACAATCAGGCATTCTACTATCTCTGCATTCCCTCTCAAAGCTCCTGACCTGGAGTCGGCGCCCTCCCATCATGGCCACTGTTATTTATGTTTGACTCGCCGTACACTCCGCCCATTGACCTGGAACTCTTCTCTGCCGGGTCCCAGGCCCCGCTTCCGCGCCTGCGCGCTAAGGCGGTTTCCATGCCGGAGGTCTCCGCTGAAAAAGGAAGATGGCGCTTGACGGGCCCGAGCAGGTATGGCGGCGGCGGCGGGGGCAGCTGGGCAGAGACCTGGGATGGGGGGCGCGGAGCGGGCGTGAAGCGAGGTGGGAAGTGGGCCTCCGCGAGAGAGTCGGGTGGTTCTGGGATCAGTGGACCCGTCCGGACTGGGCGGAGGCTGCGGCTGGATCTGCTGTGTCAGCGCCGCCCCCGGCGAGCCGGGCAGGGCTGGGTAGAAGCCGAGTGAAAGGGGCCCTGGCACCCGAGACAGGGCGTGCTGGCTGGGTCTGTAGGGCGCTTGCCACTGTGCAAAGCGTCCCGTGTTTATGGGCTCTTGATCCTCCTAAAAGTCTTAGGAGGTAGGCGGTATTTGCATCCTTTTATTTTAGTCTTGGGGAAATGGAGGGGTCAAAAGTGAGAGGAGTGATTTGAACCCAGATCTTTTTACCACACAAAGCTGCTTGGGGGTGAAAGCCTGATGGTGAAGTGCCCTGGAAGTGGCTTTACCCCCTTCAGTGTTTCCGTCTCTTGTTTAATAATTAACACTGTGTCTTCAGATGGAGCTGGAAGAAGGGAAGGCAGGCAGCGGACTCCGCCAATATTATCTGTCCAAGATTGAGGAACTCCAGGTGAGGACAGACTGAGGATTGATGGAAGCCATTTCTACAAACCCATATAATTCCATTGGGAGCACAGTAGAAGAAACTATTGCTATTTTGTTTCTTTTTAGTTTTTAGGAAAGTGCTTGTCAGAAGTAACAAACAATATAATGTATATAAACAGTTTCTTGTATCCCTTAAGGCCCACCCCTTTGAGGACAGTAGCATTCAGCTTGTTATTCATCTTCCAGCATCAAATTTTAATAGAAAAAGTACCACAAGCCACGGTTGTGTGTCTGTAATCCCAGCATTCAAGAGGGTGAGGCAGGACAATCTTGCGTTGAAGGCCAGCCTGGGCTACATAGCAAGACTGTCTCAAAAAGTAAAAACATAAGGTGCCACTAGCCCAAGATCATAGCCCTTTGGAAGAAGTGTGAATGCAGTGGTTTCTTCATAACAGGGAAGGCAGAGGCCTAGATGAGATTTGTCAGAAAGGGGTTGGGCTGGGTGAAATGAGGCCTGAGGACAGCATTGAGGAATTTGGGCAATGCTGATAATGGTGGCCAATGCTGAGTCCTAAGAATTGGACCACCCAGTGCTCTAGCTTAAAGAGCTAAACCACAGAACTAAGAAAAATGAAGTGCCATGAGGGAAAGCCACAAGGGAGATTTCAGAACTCCAGGTGCATTTGCAGGTATTATATTTAATGTACCATTTTTGAGTGCTTCTATATCTGATTTTATTTATCTCAGTCCTGAAATGTAGCAGGGTAGTGATGCTGTGCCCATGTGCAGTTCGGTAACTGATCTATTAAATGTCTTGCTTTACTTTTTTTTGAGACAGTCTTGCTATGTACAACAGTGTTCTTGGATGTGTTGATCCTCCCTCCAGCCTCAGCCTTCCCAGTGCTGGGATTTCAGGAGTGAGACACCATGCTCAGCTTTAGGTTTCTCACCTAAAATCTTTCCACTATACCATGTTGCTTTTCTGTAAGAAAGTCACTACAAGAGCCAGCTATAATATTCCTCCGTTAGATTCTATTATTCCTGGACCAAAATTGGACACAAAGTCTTTTGTGTGGCTGCGTTAGGCTCCTGAGGGACTCTTGGAGGACAGGAAAGGGTCATTAGGATCCTAGTGGAGAACCTGATACAACGAGCAGATGCCCTGGTACTCTTCCTACACCTCACACCTGCCTGTGAGCGTCTTGCCTAAGGTACTGCTCCTACTGTATATTGAGTAGTGGAATTTGTCTATTGTCCTCCACAGCTGATTGTAAATGATAAGAGCCAAAACCTCCGGCGGCTACAGGCGCAGAGGAACGAGCTAAATGCAAAAGGTGAGGGGGAGAAGGTGGGAAGCTGTGTGTGGCTGCTCCTGGTCCCCCTGACCTGCGGTCTCGTCATCTCCTCCCAGTCCACAGTTACCTTCCCACTGTCTTTATGTAGTTGGTTCCCATGCACAGCTCACCAGCTTCGGTGTAACCTGTTCAAGACACAAACTTTGACCTGTGTGAGGGAGACCTTCCCTTCCAAATTTCATCACAATAGTGCCGGTGCATGCAAGTTGAATAAGTGCCAGAGAGGGGATCTGAAAGGAGATGTTAGGTGTCCACTGTGTCTGTTTGCCCACTAGTTCGCTTGCTGCGGGAGGAGCTGCAGCTGCTGCAGGAGCAGGGCTCCTACGTGGGGGAAGTAGTCCGGGCCATGGATAAGAAGAAAGTGCTGGTCAAGGTAAAAGCAGCGTTAACTCCAGGGACAGCCTGTCATCCACTACATTTCCTCCTCAGGAAAACTGGGTTCTGTCATGTTATTCTGTGACTCCCATGGGTCTTCCTGGTTGGGGGTTGGTGGTTTGGTGGCTGGCAGGGAAGGTCATGAGCCTTGTTTCTCCAGGTCCATCCCGAGGGCAAGTTTGTCGTAGATGTGGACAAGAACATTGACATCAATGATGTGAGTACAGCATGTAAGGTGGGGGTGGGGTCCATTCTTTGCACACTACTTCCTAAAACTCCCTTCATCCAGGTGACACCCAATTGCCGGGTGGCTCTAAGAAACGACAGCTACACTCTGCATAAGATCCTACCCAACAAGGTGGACCCCCTGGTGTCACTGATGATGGTGGAGAAGGTGCCAGACTCAACTTATGAGATGATTGGTGGGCTGGACAAGCAGATCAAGGAGATTAAAGAAGTGATTGAGCTGCCTGTGAAGCACCCTGAGCTCTTTGAGGCTCTGGGCATTGCACAGCCCAAGGTGAGGAACAGGCTTCTTTGAGGAACAGGAGGGGGGTTCTGGCGGGGACAGTGAAGTGCAGCGCACAAGGCTGTACCTGTTTGAGCTGCCCTCTCTGATGAAGAGTAACTGAGGGAGACGCGCTTCCAGGGACTAAGTTAGTGTGCACATAAGCTCCACAAGGGACCCTGGTGTTTTGTTTTGTTTCATGCATCCTTAACTTCTAGCACAGAGCCAACACTCATTAAGTGTTCCCTGAATGAAATGAGGCTGGCTTTCTGTCCTGAGTCTGCTGTTTTCCCTAGGGAGTGCTGTTGTATGGACCCCCAGGCACCGGGAAGACGTTGCTGGCCCGGGCTGTGGCTCATCATACAGACTGTACCTTTATTCGTGTCTCTGGCTCTGAATTGGTACAGAAATTCATCGGGGAAGGTAATCCTGGCTAAGAACATGAGAACCCAGGTGGAAGGGTGGTAGGTTGGATGCTCATTAGCTCCTAATGCCAGCTTGGCCCCTGCACAGGGGCAAGAATGGTGAGGGAGCTGTTTGTCATGGCACGAGAACATGCTCCATCCATCATCTTTATGGATGAAATCGACTCCATTGGTTCCTCACGGCTGGAGGGGGGTTCTGGCGGGGACAGTGAAGTGCAGCGCACAATGCTGGAGCTTCTCAACCAGCTGGATGGCTTTGAGGCCACCAAGAACATCAAGGTGAGGGGTGCAGGCCAAGGGAAGGCCTGGGGCAACATGCAGGCCAAGGAGGAGCTGATACCACACACTTTCTCTGCTCAGGTTATCATGGCTACTAATAGGATTGATATCCTGGACTCTGCCCTGCTTCGCCCAGGACGCATCGACAGAAAAATTGAATTCCCACCCCCCAATGAGGAGGTCTGTAATGGCTGGTGCTAGGAGTGGCTCTGTCTGTGGGGGTGGACACAGGGCTCAGAGCATTTCCTCTCCCATCTCAAGGCCCGGCTGGACATTTTGAAGATCCACTCTCGGAAAATGAACCTGACCCGGGGGATCAACCTGAGAAAAATTGCTGAGCTGATGCCAGGAGCATCAGGGGCTGAAGTAAAGGTAATTGGAGTCTTGGGGAAACAGAACAGTGGCAGGAAGTGGGTTTCAACAAGGGCTAACTCAGGGCTGAGGGGGCACAGCAGCAGGACCTCAGCTTCCTTTTCCTGCTCAGGGTGTGTGCACAGAGGCTGGCATGTATGCCCTGCGGGAACGGCGTGTCCATGTCACCCAGGAGGACTTTGAGATGGCAGTAGCCAAGGTATGTGCCTCTACCTGTCTGCCTTTGCAGAGCGTGGCTGTGGAGCACGGGCTAAGCTTGTGTTCACACAGTTCCTAACTTTGCACTCACATGCTCTTTTTCTCTCCAGGTCATGCAGAAGGATAGTGAGAAAAACATGTCAATTAAGAAACTGTGGAAGTGAAGGAATGTCTTTTGTATGGACTCCTAAAATAAAGGTCTGTGGGACAAGCCCTCTAGAACTGTCTGTTAATAAGTGGCCGTACTACTGTTCAATGATCAGGTCTGGACACCACCAATAAACAAAAGAATTTATTTGGAAATTTCCAAACCTGCCAGAAGTGGTATTTGCCAAGCCCTAGGCCCACCCTCTGCTGAACTTCAAAGGACAACAGTCCTCTCAGCCTCCCCCCTTACCTTACCCTGCCCTCCACCATGCACACACCCCTATACCTCAGGCCCGGCTAGAAAACTGGCATGACCCCTCCCTACAGGAGGCTCTACCTCCCCTGGCCCAAGCATCTAGTGGGGGGGCAGCCCCATGGCATCCCAGGAGATGATGGCGGCCATTGCCGCTTGCATAGATTGAGGAAAGAAAAAAGGAAGGAGGGCACCAAAAAGGGCTCCCTGAAAAATCCCAACTTACCCTTGTACAAAAAAAGTGGCTCCCACATAGAAAAACTTGCTCCCCAAATAGTGCAAATACCCAAAGGAAAAGAAAAACCAGCAGCAAGGCTGGGCTTGTAGGAATGGCAAAGAACTTTGGTTTCGAAAGGCTAAGAAGAGTCTGGGCCAAGCTTCCTCTTCTTCACCCAGCTCCCCAGAGCTAGCTCTGACACTGGCCCCAGGCTGGGGCCTGTAAACATGCAAACCCAGAGGCCTTTGGTTCCAAAATGTCTCACAAAGCACAGCCTCCAGCAGTTCTATTTGGGCCTGCCTGCAGGGGGCAGAAGAGGCATCTTGAGAACCCAATTAAAGCCAATGCGAAAAGTAAGTAATAAGGCTTTGGGGACCAAGCAACCAGGAATCCTATCACTACAAGAAACTAACGCTGGGGAGTAGAAGGTGGATGGGAGACAGCCCTCATCCCCTATGTGTCTACTGCCTCAGCCAGGACCCAGAGGGTGGTCCCCTGCAAGGCTCCAGGGCTGAGATAGAAGGAAGAGATCCCTGAGCAGTTAGGTCAGGCGAATTCCCAGCACCTGTTCCAGTTCCTGCCTTCGCTGCTGCACCTGGAGAAGGGAAAGCGTGGCTTAAATCTCCGCTACTCACAACCAAAGGAAGACAAGCAGGGTAGAGCCTCACCTTGGCAAATATGTGCCTCCCCACTGCTTCCTGGGCCCAGGGCTGGTGGTAGAAAGCAGCTCGTCTCTCTTCCTCAGGATTTCCAATCACATCAGTGATGATCTGCAAAGAGCCAGGGGGAAAGCCAAGGCGTAATTCCCCAGCCCTGCACCAGTCTTCCCAGAACTAGAAGACGAGTACTTGGGGTTAAGAACCATCCAGAGCTTCACACCTTGAGGTCTCGGCGCTGGGAACGGAGCCATTCCTGAATGAAGTCTTGAGGGTCAGTGCTAAAGCTGAGCATGAAATCCCTCTGGGTCTTTAGCTGGTTGATAGACTCAATTGTCTCATGGATCTGTGAAAAAGGGTGTATGTGTCAGATGTGCCCCAGCTTTAAAGTCTGTTCCCAGGCCAAAATCCAAAGGATTGAACCAGAAGTCTCATCCCTAACATGCTATAAGTATGAAGATGGCAAACCAGCCCCTCACACTACCCCTAGAGGAGGCTGTGGTGGCAGAGGACCCACCTTGACATCAAGAGAGGCAATCTCCTGCTGGTTGGTAGTAGAGGCCAGAAAATTGCTCATCTGGGCCTTCAGTGGGTCATCCACCTCCACATCAATGTCATAACAGGCTGTCTTCTTCTGGTCATTAGGGTCCACACTATAGGTAGCATACAGGAAAGGAAGGGGAAGCTGTGTTCATCCTCCTACTTGGGGCACATTCTGTGTGCTTGTTCATAGCAAGAAAGCAACTTCTTTGGCTTTAGATAAAACCAAGGGTGAATCTGCTCTTTAAAGATCCCCCTCCTTCCATTTACCTAATGACATGGTTGATGACAATGGGGTCTGGATGTTGCAGCAACCCAGCCAGCTTCATGGGAATCTCAGAGAAACGAAGTCGGCCACAACTGAAGATCTGGAAAAAGCACCAAAGGCTTGGTGATGCTTGAGGGTATAGGGAAGTGGACTATTCCAGGACCAGAAAGGACGGTGTTAAGAAGACTGGCCAAGAACTAGCCCATTAGCGCTCTAGAGCAATCTCCAAGGCAGGGACTGAGAGAACAGGAGGAGGATGGCACCTGCTAACCTGACGGAAGTAACGGTTGCAATTGATGTACTCGCGCTCGTGCCCATCCTGCAGCTGGTTGTGCTTGATGTAAAGCCACAGGGCCTGCATGATGGCAGCCCTTGTCTGTGTGTGCACTCCCAGCAGCCTTGCCAGTCGGGGATCCAATTTATACTGGGGAGGCTAAGGATTGACAGGGGGAGTCAGGAGGGATTCTTGTGAAGCAAAACAAAGCAGAAGAACAAGGCAGGGACAGGAAGGGTTTATAAAAACCTGCTCCCCTCCCCTGACAAGTCCCTGTGGTACCAGACATGACCCCAGGGCATCTGTCACCTGATGATCCAGCATAAGCAGGAGGGTACACTTGACATTGAGGTCTCCAGGTCGTTTTACCTGGAAGCCATCTGTCTCCTGGGTGGTGGGCATCCGGTGCCACTGTCAGAAAGGAGGGGGGAGAGCTTATTACCAAGGGAGGGGGGATCAAGACCATTACTCCACCCAACCAACACATCAGCCTATGCTTGGTGTCCTCCGGCAGCTTGTTACTCCCAGGTGTCAGGGCCACACTCACCTCCACCAGGTGGTTGTCAGGTCCATACAGTTCCTTGTCCAGCTCAATGACTAGGCTCTTAAAGAATGAAGAAAACTTCCTCTTCTGTTTACTAGGCTGGGGATGGAAAGGAGTGTGAGATGGGGGTACTGCTGACTTCTTGAACCAAAAGCTATTCACTAGGCCCAAATAAGCAGCAACATTTCAGTCCTGGAGCTCAGGGCACAGAGGAGCAGTCAGACTGGGAAAAGTGAGAAATGGGAGCAAGGAAAAGAATCTCTCCAAGCAGCTCCACTGCCAGCCAGTGAACAATACATTAAGACACTCAAACACTGTCTGCAGTAAAGTTTTAATAACCTCACAAATCTTCAACCTTGGGTTGGGGGTACAGCTCAGTAGCAGTTAGAGCATTTGTCTAGTACATGTGAAGTCCTGGGTTTGATTTCCAGCATAGCCAAAAAAACTAAACAAATCCAAAAACTTCTTAACTGGCCCCAGTCTTAAATCCACATAGGCCTCCTCCCCTCCAGACACCTTCCCCAACTCACATCATCCAGAAGTTTTCCCTCCACTCGGAGTTCCCAGGATGCCACCTTATCTGCTGCTGGGGTTGCCCCTGGTGTCCCTGCAGTTCCTGCACTATCACCATCTGCCTTGCTGGGACTGAATGTATTGGAAATGTAGATCCGAAGCTTTCGCTTTTGCTGAAGAGAGGAAAAACTATCAACTAGGGGTAGACCGACGGATTAGAAAAAGCTACCCAATCTTCCCCTGTGAACTCATTCAATAATACTGGCTGCTATGGGCCAGGCTTCTACCTTGTAGGCACTGGGAATCAGAAGCCAAACTGTGGAGGTGGTGGTTTGACAGGTATATACATACAGGATGCTGACAAGCAAATCAGAAGCCTCTAGGGCTGAGGGTGTAGCTCAATGGTAGAGAGGTCACCTAGCATGTATAAGGCCCTTGGACTCCATCCAATCAGGAAAAAAAGAAAAGTCTCTGGTTCATATTAAGTGAAAGCCAAACACACACCATAGCTCCAAAATACCCTAGTCTCTTGGAAAGCCTTCACCACTCTGGGTACTATTCTAAATTACTGTCTTAACAGAGAAGGATGGGAAAAGAGAAAGGAACTACCCATATCTACCCTCTGTCTGGCAGCTTTCAAACTTCTGACCATGATCCATAAAGATGTGCATTTTAAATCACCCAGAATCCACATACATACATACATGTGAAACAAATATTTCATGAAGTATTACTTTCACTACTATCAAGTCCTTTTTTATATTTTCTACTACTTTTACATTCATTTAAAACATGCTGGGCAAAGCATGGTAATGCACACCTATAATCCTAGGACTTGGGAAATCCAGGCAGGAGATTGATGAGTGCAAGATCCCTCTCAAAAAACACCAAAATCCATGCTGGTCCCAACACATTAAACTGAGTTCCAACTGTACTTTAGGTTGTTTCCTACAGGTGAAAAATGCTGCTCTAGCCAATGCCAACCCTGCTTGGCCCTAGAAAACTACCAAAGAGGGACAGTGCAGACTGAGAAGGCTGGGTTGGTCACCGTTAGAGGCTTTTTGATGGCCTCCTGGATCTCCATTCGCTTGCGAGCAATGGTCTGGTCCAGCTTCCGCTCAAAAGCCAAGAGATCCATGTATGCCTGAGACTCTGGGACAAGCTCCCGAATCTGAGGGAGAAGGAATTCAATAGCTTGCTTCAGGCAGCTCTGGCTCTTTCCTCCCTTCATTCCCCATCCCAGAGCTGGGAAAGGTAGCCTCCCACTCTGGCCAGCCAGACACTGGGCAGTCCTCCCTCCTAACACTTACTCGCTGAGGTAGAACCTTATCTGCCATCTTCCTCCTCTTTAACCTGGGAAGGACAAAACCCATTTAAGAGGTTAACCCATCCCATCCCTCCAGTCCCCTCCCCTAGGGAGTCAGGAATCTCCCAGTCATCAAAGCTCATAGAAAAACCCTTTTGCTACCACCAGACGCTGGTGGGTTGGGGGAAGCAACAGATGATCTTACCCCCGGCGCTGGGCAGGCATCGGGGGCTGGGCCTGGGGCACAAGCAGGCGTTTTCGGAATGGATCCATCATGGTAGGTGGCATGCCAGGTCGAAGTGGAGCAGCTGTGCCAAATGGGGAGCCAGCAGGGGGTCCTACCTGCAAACCAGCCATGGGCATCCGGCTCCCTGGTGACATGCCAGGTCGCTGGGAGAAGTGAGTGAAAGGGGGTGCATAGGTCAGTGGCAGTGCCCTGCGGGGTCCATAACCCATGTCCTCCATCCCTTTCCTTAGACAGGCCTGGCCCTGAGCAGCACATGGGGAGCCCCACTGGAGGCCTGGAACAAAGGGGAGCAGGAGCCTAAGAAAAGGTGTAAAATACACCTACCCCACCCCTGCAACCGCCCTGGCAGCCGTGCCAGCAAATGAGGCTGCCAAAGCCCAGAGGTGGGAGGAGTGCTGCCTGTAGAGGGAAGGGCCTGGGTACCTTTTCAGGGCCCATTGTCACCTTCCAGCCCTAGTATGCTGTGCCCTGCTCTGGGACCAGCCAGCTTTGAGGCACTCTTGGGCCCTCAGACATCTCACTACCCACTTCCTTCTTCCATATTCTGAGGAAGAAGCATGGCAGGGGTGGTCTAGGAGTAATATCACAGCCAGGCAGAGAGATTCAGGAGTATATAAGCAGGCTGATGGGGCAGAGCTCCAATGCCATGCCCTGTCACCAGTCTTACGATGTGACTGGGGGAAGAGAGGCAGTTGGTGGGCTGGCAAGCCCATTAGTCAACAGCACCCAAGGTGAGCAACTGGAACAGGATAGCTTGTACTTGTCCCAACTGGAGGTTGGCCTCAGGCACAGTACAGACACCATCTGGTCACCATATGGCTCCTACCACAACCAGAACTGGATTCTTCTCTCAACTCCCTACTGCCACATCTCTATCCCTCTATGCCAGAAGACCCCAAAAGGGAAGCTATGGCTCCTGGGTGGCCCATGGGAGTGACAGCAGCTGACATCTGCACTCTGCCCAGGGTCCAGGAGCCAGCTGGCAGCCACACTGCTACTGCCTCAACCTAATCCTAGCCATCCCAAGCTAGAGAATGGGGATGAGACTGGCCTGAGATGCAAGAAGCAGAGTCACGGGGTCACAGAGTCACAGAGGCAGTCTGGGTGACATTGAGTAGCTTCTTTAGAAGCCTGCAGAAGGATTTCCCACAGGAGGCCCAGCTCCCCAACATTTCTGTGGCACCCCTCTGGGAGTAACCCCACCCCCAACTCCCTTGCATGGCTGCTGCCTGCAAGGCCTGTTTGGCAGCCCTGCCTTGCACACATTGTCCCTGGCAGCTTCACAGGGCTGGCCCCAGGGTCCAAATTATGCAACCAGCATAACCAGCCAACCAGGCCAGGCTGGGTGGAGATTCTCATCAAACCAAGAGACCCTCCCCCATCCCAGCATCCTGGAGATGTGAGTTTCCCCCTCGTCTTCATCTAGCACCAAATTCATGTTCCCAACACAGAGGATCAGATTCATGACCAGATGGAGAGAAAGAAACATGATCCAGAGATGTGGGGAAGGGATAGGATGGAAGGGAAGTGTTTGGAGAATGAGAAGTTAAAAGTGGGCCCTGGGACCTTGGGAGTCCTGCCTCAAGGCTCTCCCCATCAGGAAGAGATTCATCAGAGCTGCTGAAAGGCAAAAGACAGCCTGTTTCTCTGACTTAATCAACCACAACCAGAGATTATAGAAGGAAAACAAAAACAAAAACAGGGTGACCACAGCTGTAAGCCCTGGCCCAGACATCCCAGTTTTTCCCAGTGCCTGAGACGAAGGGAAGGAATAATTGCAGAGTGTGAGTTAGGGCCCTGTAGTCTCCAAGAAGCTCCTCACTAGGTTTCACAAAACCTGCAGCACCACCCAGGCCTCCTGGCAGGTGCTCAGATAACAAGAAAACCCAAGACAAGGCAGCACAGGCAGGGCCTGAAACAGGCCCCACCAGACATCTGCTCCAGACCTCAGGCTGGGCTCCAAGACCCCAGCTTACCAATAGCCCCAGGGGAAGACTCTTTGCAGTTCAAGATCCAGCTCAGCCTTGCCAAGCTCCATACCTGGGCTTTGAAGTGCCAGTAACTCTTTTAAAAAAAAAAACAAAAACCTAAAGCCATAACTCCCAAACTCTCAACGGGGATAGGTAAGCCTGGTTCAGTCCATGAAGCCCAGAAGGTGGTGAAGCATCAGGCAAAATCCTAGGCTTGACTCTACACTACCAAAGAGAGCAGGGCAGGAGGCTGGGCCTGATGCTGCCGGCTTCAGGTGCGGATCTAGATGAGCGTGTTCTGCCCTGCCCCAAAGCCTGCAGCCCTGATACTCCTGCACCTAGGCTAAGGGCCCTGATGGAGAACAGAACCCCTTCTACCCCATGAAGAGAAAGTATTCTTGAACTCTCTGGAGTGAACCCAGCAATGCATGAAGTTTTGTTTTCATTTTTTTAAAGTCTCCAGAAAGAACAACTTTCTGAAAGAAGGTGGGCTACACTTCTTTTGTTTGTTTGTTTTTCTTTTTTTCTATACTTTCCTTCTTTCAACAGTCTCCCCTTTCTTGCACCTCAAATCCTTGCTCTTCCTGCTCACCCTAACAGACAGAAATCCTTTCGTTTCCTGGATCCCAAGTCTTCTCCTGGAAGTCATACAACTGGACTTGGAAATTCAACCAAAGTTAGCTGGGTTCTCCTTCTTCCCATCTATCTGTTCAGCCCTTTCCTAGAGGAAGGAGTTGGGGTGGGGGAGAAAGACGATGAAAATGATGATGATGTTAAACAGGTGGGATGGAAAGCCTAGGCTCAGAACCTTCTCCTGCTTCCCACACCTAGTAGCCAGGGGCTAGCCAGCCAGTCAGCTTGGCCTTACCACAGGCCCAAGACCACTGCTCACAAAACAAGGTAGACTCCATCCTCCCCACAGCTTTCCTAGGGCTCATTTTCTGTAGGTTGCATGTCAAAGAAACTATTCCAGGTCCTCCCAAGTCCAAAGGCCCACAAGAAGTTTGATGAGTCTCAGTTAGCGGGCCCAGGGGCTGGAACTTCTGAAGCAGGAACCCCTCAGAAACACCCGGGGCCTATGAATATCCAAGAGGGAGAGCAAAATGGGAAAAATGGACCCCAACTGCAATCCTTGGGACCAGGCCAGTCTCTTGATACTCAGAACCTTTGTTTTCTTCTGAGGAAGAAGGGGGAATGGGAAGTAAGGGAAAAACCACTAATCTCAGTTAAGTATCTCTTTAGGAAATGAGCACTTGGGGGTTCCGGTGGGATATATATATATACTACGTGAAGATCTATTTCTGGAATCTCTACCTGGAGACACCAGGAGAGAACAAAGGAAGCCATATGCACACCTGGGGACATTAGCAAGAAGCCAGTGTCAAAGTTTGGGGCATATGGGCTGGGATATGTTGTTGCCAGAATCAGGAGGCTAAATAAAAGTGAAAAGGGGGCAGGGAAAGGATCCCATGCATTATGGGGAGAGAGACATAGCTCAGAGCATGCACAACTCCCTACGTTCAAGCCCCAGCATTGCAAAACAAATTCTGGAGCAACCTGAAACAACTGCACTTGGAGACCGATGAGCCCCACCAGTTGGGTCAGGCTGAGTTCCTCACAAAGCCACCCTAAGGATCAAGTCTCTGCCTCTCCATTGCCTTTGAAGCTGCAACCTGAGACCCTCCCTTCAAAGCCAGAGGGGGCAGACAGTACCCTTTGAAACAACTCCTGCAGCTGCAGACTCCTCCAGCCTGAGACCAGCAAGGGCTCAGAGGAGTGGTTTGGCATCTCCAGACTCATCAACTTCTGGACACTGACACCAGGCAGCAAGCCCAGGAAAGAGTCTGCCCAGAATGGTGTTACTGGGCTGGGCCTTCCTCAGGCCTGGCCACCACTGTCTCTGGTCTAACCCAGAGTCATGCAGGCCAAGGCTCCTAGGCACAAGCTGCAATCCCTGATTCCTCTCTTTAGCCTCCCATGCCGTGGGAAGCCAGACCTCCTTCCTCCTCTAGCAGCTGGGAGCCATCTCAGTCATGCTAGAGCTCTGCCAGGTCCCAGCTACAAAAAAAAAAAACAAAAAAGCAGACTTGGAATGGGACGGAGGCCAATGCAGGGTAACCCTGGTTTCTCAGTGAGGGCCCTTTTCCAAAACTTCTCATCACCTCCCAGGACCCCACCCCCCGCCCTAAGACCTGCCGTAGACTTCTTAACCCGATTGCCCACAACCGCAATCTCTAGCTCCGCGACGGCTCCGTTTCTCAGTTACTCAGAATCCCAGTGCAGGAAGCGCCAGATTCTCCAAACTGCTCCAAATCCTCCACTGCAGAGTCCCTCTCCCATATGCCCCAACTCTGTCACTAGCCCCAGAGTCTCCGGCCTGGCCCTCCGCTGGCTCCCGACAGATCCCTCTGCAGGTCCCTGTGCCGTCTAGTCTACACAGTGGGTCCACAGGACACTCAAGGCCCCAGGGAGTCCTGCCCAGCAGCCCTCGAGGCGCTGCCTGTCTTCCTCACCTGGTACTGCGCCGCGGGGCCCGCGGGGCCCATGGGGCGGAAGGCGGCGGCCCCAGGCCCCCCCATGCCTCCAACAGGCCCCGGGCCCCTGAGAGCCGGGTTGGGAAGCATTCCGGGTCCCGCTGGGGGAGGCGGCGCTCCCAGGGCCGCGGCAACGGCGCCGCTGCCGGGACTCAACGGGGGCAGCGGGAACCCGCCCGCGCCACGACCCGACATCGCTCCGTCCCGTCCTGCGGTGCAGCGATCCGGTGTCCGGGCTCCACAAGGAGTCCGCTCCACTCGCGGTGCTCCGCGATCCGGGACTTTCCGATCTTAATTCCGGGTTCCGGGGTTTGTCAATCCGGGTTCCAGGATTTCCTACTCCAAATTTGCGAGTTCCTCACAGACCTGCTTTGGGCCTGGGCCGATCCTGACTCCGCTCCTGCCTGGGAGGTTCCTGATCCAGGATCTGCTGTAGGCCGGTCGGCCTCTCCCGGCCTCCAGAGATTTGGCAGCCAGAGTCCAGTTACCCAGAGGCGGCTACTAATCCTCAACCCCGCCCAACCCAGCCGAGCTTTCTACCTAGCTGCCCAATTGAGAATGCCTCAAATCCCGCCCCTCGCGAGACCCGCCCCCAACAAGGCACCATCTTTAACCGCCTGCCTCAGAGCCACGCCCACATCCCTTAGGCCGGCCCTTGGCGGGAGGGGCGGAAGCGGAAGTTGCGTACTAAAGCGCCAAGAAAGGCGCGGGGTGAAAGGTCGGAGGTCACGCAGGCGCTGTGACTGGTTAGTGGCTACTTTCTCCCTGGTGTGGCGGCCCCACGGAAATAACTCGCTATACTCCCCAAAATAGTTTTGTCAAGACTTTCTTCATTTTTAGCGTTAAAGATTCCACTTAGATCAAACTATCGATTGGACATTTAATTTTTGCGGTACTGGGATCTGAACTCGGCCTCGTGTATGCTAGGCAGGCGCTCTACCACTTGAGCTACGCCCCTAGCCTTTAAAAAATTATTAGCATATAATAGTTGTACACGGGCGATACATTGTGACGTTGACATATGTGTTAATTAGATTCATCCCCCTCAGTCTTTCTGCCTGGTCCTCCCTCCTCCCCTTCTTAGGATAATTTCAACAGGTTTCATCGTTCATTGTTCTGTTTTCATACACGAATATAAAGTACAGCCACCATATTCACCTCCTTCACCCTTTCCCCAGCCCTTTTGCTTGTTTTCGGTTTCGTTTGGGTTTTTTTGCGATACTAGAACTTGAACTCAGAGCCTACACCTTGAGCCACTCCACCAGCCCTTTTTGTGATGGGTATTTTCGAGATAGGGTCTCACAAACTATTTGTCTGGGGTGACTTGGAACCACGATCCTCCTGATCTCTCCTTCCTGAGTAGCTAAGATTACAGGCGTGAGCCACTGGCGACAGGCTTGTATTTTGTTTTTGAAAGACGGTGTAGTCTAATTTTTCCCAGGCTCACCTCCAGCTCTCTATTCCTCCCGAGTAGGTGGGATTACAGGATATGGCACCATGTCCTGCTCCAACTGGATTTTTTTTTTTTTTTTTTAGTTTGAACTCAGGGCTTTTAGATAGCAGGCGCTCCACCACTTGAGCCACACCTCTAGTCCATTTTGCTCTAGTTATTTTGGAGATGGGGTCTCACAAACTATTGGCCTGTGTGGCCTCAAACCTCGATCCTCCCAATCTCAGCCTCCCAAGTAGCTAGAATTACAGGCGTGAGCACCCAGCTCCGACTAGACTTAAATGCCCATCCTTGGTTGCTCAGAGCTGCCAAGGGACACTGACGTCTCCAGACTCCAGCCGGAGCTCATCTTTAACGTGGCTCTATCTCACTTTATGGGAGCCTGGTACTTTTCTCCACAGAAAATGATTTTAGGTGAAGGAAACTTACATGATGTGAGACCTCCCTGTGGTTAAGTAAGTTCTTTATCCAGTGTTTATAGCACTTAATTTTCAAATATTCAGTACCTTTTCAGAAGATACTCAACATAAAGTGCTTCAGCTGTACTAGGGACTTACCCGCTCATGGATTTAACCCACCCCCATGAGATACAGTCAGTGCTTCTTAACATTAAAAAGCCTGAAGTTCCATTGTCCTTTTGTTTTTCTTTCAGAACTGGGGTTTGAACTCAGGGCTTCATGCTTATAATACAAGTGCTCTGCCGCTTGAGCCATACCTCTAGTCCTATTGCGTGCACTTGAAAATAGGTACAACAGTTAAACAAAATCGGGTCCTGTTCCCTTTTGCTTGAAGTACTCCCTATTGCTATTTTTTTGGCAGTATTGTGATATGAACTCAGGGCCTCACACTTGCTAGGCAAGGGCTCTGCCACTTGAGCCACTCTACCAGCCCTGCCTGTTGCTTTTGAATGTCACACTCCCTCCATGATACAGGACTCTGCAGGACCTGGCTCCTGCTCACTCCCTTAGACTCTCAAGGCATCAGTCCAGATGGTGTCTGTAATTTCTCCATCCACCAAGCCCCACCTCAGAGCCTCTCTGCTCCCAGCTCTTCCGTGACTGTCCTCTTTCCCTTTACTTCCACCAACTGGTTATTACAGCCTATAATTAGTTATGTATATACTGGTTTAGGGTCTGATCTGGTTCGCTCTCTAACATATAAACTCTATCAGGGTCTCTCTCATGATTCATGTAGCATAAAATCATTTAAAAGTGAGTGACTTGCACCATTGTACAACCACCACCTCTATCTAGTTCCAAAATATTTTCCTCACCCCAAAAGAAAACCCCATACTCATTAAGCACTTGTTCCCCATTTCTCTCTTCTTCCAACCCCTGGCACCACCCAAAATCTGCATTTTGTCTATTTTTGGATTTACCGATTATGGATATTTTATATAAATAGGATCATAATATGTGGCTTTTCTGTTTGGTTTTCTTCACTTAGCATAATGTTTTTGAGGTTCATCCATGTTATGACATATATCAGTATTTTATTTATCTTTATGGATAAATAGTATTCCTTTGTATGTTTATACTACAATTTCTCCTTTTATCTTTTGGTGGACAATAGGGCTTTTCGACTTCTTGGCTATTGGGCTATTGTGAGCAGGGCTTCTATAAGCACCTATGTACTTGTATTTGTTTGAGTTCCCATCTTCAGTCATTTTGGGTATACACTCTCTTGATCATTGTTGAGTGTAGTGAGAGAGAATAATGAACAAATAATGTCAATAATGAGTTAATTGCCATGATAAAAATATCCCCAAGGTTTTAGAGGGGAAAAAAAAAAGATCTAAGACATGGTAGGGATAAAGGAAGATTTCCTACACAGTTGGCAGAGTAACATTTATTAAGGACTTACTACACATTGTCACTCACTGAAATGTTACAATACATGACATAGGTACTGCATGAGGTAAACACTACATTTACTTCTATTTTAGAAATCAGAACAGAGAGAATCGGTCTCTTGCCCACCCTCACTGTGATGGTGCTGGGATTCAAACCTGGCTCCCATCTGGCTCTAGAATTCACAATGCAGGGACTTAACCACTAGAGACCACAATTTGTTGGTAGTTGTGTATCTGGTCCGTTATTACTTGCAAGGAAACAGTGTTCAAACTAAAAATCAAGTGTCCTGGAGCTTCAGAGATTGGTAGGTCCTGATTAATCAGAAAAGAGTTCCTGAACACTTTAGTTTGAAAGTAAAAGATACTACTAGTGGTCACCCAACAGGGAAATGGAGTCTGATACCTCACTTCAGGACACACAGGACCTTGTAAAAAGAGAGCTGAGTTAATGGTGAAGAATCAGTAGAGATGGGAAGGGCATTCCCACTGCCGCCCTTGTAGGACTATGTGCAGCTAGTTACAGGACTTGCGGTCATGGAAGCATTCCCATTGCCTCCCTCCCTCAGCTTGGAATGCCTTTTTCTCTTCCTCCCTTATTCTCCTGATACTGATGCTGATTCTGCTTAGGGCCTACTTTTCAGGGATTTTTTTTTTGAGACCTTCTGTGATCCCAGCCTCACATTCTAGAAGAGGAACTTTCCTGATAACCTCTGCACCCTGTTGCATCTACACATGCTCAAAGAGACTGAATGGTAGTGGGCATGATTGTGGATTATGTATTCCTATGATCCTAGTACTTGGAGACTGATGAGGTTTTTTTTTTTAATTTTTATTTTATTCATATGTGCATACAAAGTTTGGGTCATTTCTCCCCCCTTCCCCCACCCCTCCCTTATCCTACCCCACCCCCTCCCTCTCCCCCCCACCCCCTCGCTACCAGGCAGAAACTATTTTGCCCTTATCTCTAATTTTGTTGAAGAGAGAGTATAAGCAACATTAGGAAGGAACAAGGGTTTTTGCTGGTTGAGATAAGGATAGCTATACAGGGAGTTGACTCACATTGATTTCCTGTGCGTGGGTGTTACCTTCTAGGTTAATTCTTTTTGATCTAACCTTTTCTCTAGTCCCTGTTCCCCTTTTCCTATTGGCCTCAGTTGCTTTAAGGTATCTGCTTTAGTTTCTCTACGTTAAGGGCAACAAATGCTAGCTAGTTTTTTAGGTGTCTTACCTATCCTCACCCCTCCCTTGTGTGCTCTCGCTTTTATCATGTGCTCAATGTCCAATCCCCTTGTTGTGTTTGCCCTTGATCTAATGTCCACATATGAGGGAGAACATAGGATTTTTGGTCTTTTGGGCCAGGCTAACCTCACTCAGAATGATGTTCTCCAATTCCATCCATTTACCAGCGAATGATAACATTTCATTCTTCTTCATGGCTGCATAAAATTCCATTGTGTATAGATACCACATTTTCTTAATCCATTTGTCAGTAGTGGGGCATCTTGGCTGTTTCCATAACTTGGCTATTGTGAATAGTGCTGCAATAAACATGGGTGTGCAGGTGCCTCTGGAGTAACCTGTGTCACATTCTTTTGGGTATATACCCAAGAGTGGTATTGCTGGATCATATGGTAGATCAATGTTTAGCTTTTAAGTAGCCTCCAAATTT